GTTGTACTCAAAAAATTTTAACAACTGGAGTCAGAGTTGTTACTTTTTTTTTACGACTTGACACCCCTAATATATACATAGACAAATTTGTTTATTTATGTTGTGGTACTATGACATGTTCTATTATGAGCCTGTGCTTTTTTTCCAGAGTTTAGGAAGATCATTATTTGTTTAAATTTGTTGCTATATAATTGACAGCACTGTCAATTATATAGTACCACTTGATACTGATAAATTTCAGAACAAAATTATTTATATTTACTTCATTGGACCCACAAGCTTTATTTACTGTTACTAATAGTATATTTATATTTTAAAATAACAAATCATTTGAACTTTTTGAATTTTTTGGACAAAGTTAAATTAGATAACATCTTTTAGAAACTTTTTAACTTTTACTGTAAACTTATACAAACTGAACTAAGTTTGCAATATTCTTCAATGCTTTTGTATAAGTCTGAGATATAATGTTTATTTATTAATTTTTTCTAGGTTTTCTAAGTTTATAACTGCAATTTGAATTGCAAAGCAATAAAGCTTGTGTGATGGCAATAGTTAACTCTTATCAGAAAAAAAATTACAAACTTCATATAAGACAAATTTATTGATAACGTAAAAATCATTTTTATTTTATTAATATCTAGGCGATAATTTACATTTTTGTTGGTGGTTAATATTTTTGTTTATTATTTTCAGCTCGCAACATTGTTTTCAGACGATAAATAAAGTTAAATTTTATTTGGAAACAAAGTAGAATGCAACATTCAAAAAGTGACTTTTAGATCGAGTCTGTCGAAAACCCGGTTGTAAAGATAAAGCGATGCTATATCCGAGCCTATATCTCAATCTCTCTTAATATATATCTGTCATAGAGCAATCTACAAATTTGTGACATTTTCTGTATTTCTTTTTGTTAAGGCGTTACCTGAATATTTTCTGCTTTTTATTTTTTTCAAAAAAAATATGACTACATAATGACTTTTTTTCGAAGCATTATGTAATATAATATTGAATTTGTATATATATATATATATAATATATATATATATATATATATATATATATATATATATATATATATATATATATATATATATATATATATATATATATATATATATATATATATATATATATATATATATATATATATATATATATATATATATATATATATATATATATATATGACTTCTATCAACTTCGCCAAAAAAGTTTATTTATCCTATATAATTAAACTTTACTAAATAAATAGAAAATTTTTATAAAATAATTATAAAATATATTTATAAGAATATAATTAGTTAAAACAATAATAAAATGTTTTTTTATTAAAATATAATTAAATAATTATAACGGAATTATTATGATAACAAGTTTTGCATAAACTTCGCATATTTTGACATCAAGTTTTGAGTTCAGAATCAGAGCCGTCTTTAGAAAATGCGAGGCCTAGAGCAAAATATTTTTGCGAGACCTTCTTGAAAGTTATTATTTTAGGCACTTTGACGAAAAAAAACCTTTTCTCTTACTGTCTGAAAATAGATTGTATAAGTGCAAAACATAAATTTCGGTTTGGTATAATTTAGAGTGGTAACTTTCGTGTAGGTTTATAAAAAGGACTGATTGCTTTATAAAATAATCTAGAATAATAACAATAAAGTTTATTCTTAAAGTTATTAAAGGCCAAATAATGTAAAATAAATAATAAATTTTGTCTGACAAGAAATAGATGAATTAGAATAACAAATAAGTTTTTTCTTTTTTGGTTATTATTGAATAATTAGTTATAATTAATATAACATATTTTACAAAATAGTAATCTTATTTGTACATATTCTATATATATATATATATTTTCAGCAATCGATATGAACGGTGCTCATAGGTAGGTAGATGTTATATAATAAGTGTTCACACTGTAAAATAATAGACATTAATTTTATAATAAAATACTGTAAAATATTTATAATAAAATAATACAATATTATTAACACTGTAAAAACAAATGTCTAGGGTTATATAATTTTTAAAATTGCTACAAAAGGATGAAAACTTAGATATCACAATTGATAGCCTTTCTTGACCCTAGGGCGAACTTAATTATGTCTTAATAAATTTCAAGCGTGAAAAACTTCTTCTGCGCTTGCCACAGTTACAGGTATAGTCAGTAAAGTTCTATACGTTATAAATGCATTCAGAAATAGGTTTTGAATAAATCTCAAAATCCTTGCAGATGTTTCCACCTCAGCTGGTAGAAGTTCTCAAAGAACCTTAAGTTCAGAAAAAAGGTCATATCCACAAACATTCTTTTCTTCTTTAAAACTTAGAAAATCGCAACTCAAACGTGTATTTTTTGAGCCTGTGGGCTTTTTTTTCATAACTTATTTCATTCATAACTGATGGTGTTTCATTATTAGTTTTTTTTTGGGTCCTCAATGAACTCAAGTAGTTCAACTAATGCAGTATGAACTTCCTTAACTAAGATCCGTGCCTGTACTCAAGAGTGGATACTTTTAATATTGGAACAGTCGTCATACCATTGTCTCCATCAGTCCCTGATTTGCAATCCAATTTCATCTTGCAAAAGAACATCAGTTAGACTTTTTCCGTTGTTGATTTATCGTCTAAGAATCCAAGGAAGTACTCTTCGATGCTTACATCTTCATTTTCACTCTTAAAAGAAGTTAAATCATATTAATTTTTAAAAATCGCATGACCAATGATAACTTATCCTTCTGACTAAGATCCAGTGTGCAGCCTATTCATTTTTTACCTTTTTTTGATTTTTGATTTTATTAGTTTTATTTTACTTACGTTACTTTTGAATTTTATGTTAGCTTCTTTCATTTAATTCGTTCTCGTTTTTTCTTTTTAGATATTTTATTTTTTCTTCTTTTTATGTTTTGGAAAACAAAATGAAATTTTCGCCTAATCTATTGATTTTTTTTTTTTTTTTTTTACTTTTTAAAAAAGTATTTTATAGACGTTAAACAGAAGAGTTTCAATAGCTTCGAACAATGATTTGCATTTTTTTGTTCGCTATTATTACATAGGAAAGAGAATCATGTTGATATTTTTTTAATTAATAAATAATTGGGCGGGTAATTAGATATTTTTGGCAAGTATGTTATTGTTATATTATTTTTATTTAACCTAAACTTTTTCTTATTTTTTAAGGACAATAACGCCTTTTATTTTTTAACAAGAGTAAGGCGTTGCTGCGCGAGACCTTACTTTCGTAAGTTTTGATTGCTCGTGTTTAGAATGGCTTCGCTGCGCGAGGCCTACCAAACCAATATGATATCATAAAAAGTTTATGATATCATATTGATATCATAAACTTCTCATATTATGATATCAGAGTTTGAGTTCAAAATGATATCAATGAGTGATTTCATTTTGATATCATATTGACATCATAAACTTCTCATATTATGATATCAGGGTTTGAGTTAAAAATGATATTAATAAGTGATTTCATTTTGATATCATATTGATATCAAAAACTTCTCATATTATGATATTAGGGTTTGAGTTCAAAATGATATCAATGAGTGATTTCATTTTGATATCATATTGATATCATAAACGTCTCATATCATGATATCATACATATCATAGTTTGATATCATTTTGATATCAAGTTCCTGATTGGGTTGGGTCACTCAAAAGCATTAAATGATTGATTTGGTCCGTCATTGTAAATTTTCAATCAAATTTGAAATTAATATGTTATTGAAGACTAACTAACTCACAATGCATTATAAAGTAAGAATTAAATTAGCCTAAATTCTTGATATTTCGATTTAAAAATCGATTTAAAGTATATATTATAGCTAGTCGGAGCTGATTTTATTTAGTAGTATTAAACAACCTTTATAACTTCCTAAATATCATTATTACCGGTTTTTAGATAGCGGCATTTGGTTGGAATCGAATACTTAAAATATTTGATTTTATGTATTTATAGTGATATGTCTTTGCTTTTTTTTTCCTTTTTTGAAAACATTAAAATAACAAATTATAAATTTTTAATAATAACGGTTCGATGTGTTTAATAAAATTTAAAAAAACAAAAATAAAATTATATTCCTTAAAGAAATATCTTAACTTTAAATTGGTCTTTTTAAAAAAGCAAAAAAAAGTCGTCGATTTTGAACTGAAAAATATATCATTGAGAATACATGGTCGCAGCTGTTTTTTTTTTTTTGTCAACAATAACTGCCGTTTAGTAAATGCAAAAATCAGAAAATTAAACAATCCTCGAGTGGCATTTAGAAAAAGGAAGATGGAAATTTAGAAAAACACCTTTAAAATACCAACAACTCAAAAACATTTTATGAATAAATTAAATACAAATATATAACTAAAACGTGTATTTTTTATAAGCACTAAGTTAGTATATTTTATTTAAAATAATAACAGTCCAAAGTTTTTTCAATTGAAAAAAGTTATGTAGATTTTGAAGATAAGTATTTTTGAAAAAAAAAAATTTCGAAAATTTGACATTTTTAAAGCCATTTGAATGGTTCATATCTATCAATTCATATCTATTAATTAAACGGATACATTTTTGAGAAGAATAAAGGACCTATGTTTCAATAATAAAATAAAAAAAAAGTTCCGATTTAACTTTTTTGATTTAACTTTTTTGGGACTTTTGGCCACGGATAAAACATTCTGGCCCACTGTGCACTGGTAAGATTTTTGTGTTATTCTTTCAAAAACTTTTTTATATTTATTAGCATGCAAATTGCTGTTTTGTAAAAGTGACTTAATTTTGTTGCGTCACTTGTTTTATTATATATTCCTAAGATTTTAAACTGGAGGGATAAAAAAAAAATCATACTAGTATTGGCATACTAGTATTTACATTTATATACTTTTTAAACTCGCTTTGATAAAATATTTAAAAACAGAAATGGAATGAACTGATAAAATATACGCTCGCGCACATACAAACATAATTTAGAAAATTTTAAAAAATTATAACTTACTCGAATGATTTATTATATAAAAAGGCATACGAGACGCTTCTTTTTTTTGTCTTTAAATTCGTTGGATGAAAAATGAAATTTTTAGTGTTTAAGTATAGTAAAAGTCTTTTTGTTTACATTTGATGAACGATTATTAAAGCTATTTGTACTTTAAATCTATTTGTTTTTAGCAAAGCAAACATTCACTATTTATGAAAGTTTTACGTTGAATTAAAACTTCTTGCAATTAATTATTAAACACAAGTGTAAAAGAAAGTTTTTTTTCTTTATGACATCTACATAACTTTTTTTTTTAATTTTTTTTCTTTCATGTAGATTTTGCGTGCATTGTAGTGTTGCCATCAAAAAAATTTACTCAAAAAAAAAATTTTACGGCATTTTAAGATACAAAAAAAAATGTTGTAAAAAGAAGGTAATGCGAATTCATTCCGTACGCTATAGCTCTCCATTTAATCTGTGACTTTCAATTTCGTTAAAAAAAAAAAAAAAAGAGAAAAGCCACATTTGCCAAACTTGTTAAAAATGGTGAAGTCAATTCGTCCCCTCAGTATTATCTTGCCCTCAGTATTATCTTTGTATTATTTATTTACAAATGTAATAAATAAAATGTTCTATCTCATATATAAAATAAATAAATAAAAAATTTAAAAATAAATACAATGTTCTATCTTTATATTATATTATAGTACTTAGAACATTGTATTTATTTATATATAATTTTTTTTTGTATTTATTTTATATATTAGATAAAACATTTTATTTATTACATTAGTAGATAGAACAAGATAATACTGAGGGGACGATTTTGTGACAAATTTATATTTTGCGCTTTTTTAAGTGAAAGCATGACAGCTTACAAGTTGATAACATTGAAATACTCATTTCCCATAATACTCAGAAGACTCAGACCCACTTCCAAAATGGCTCCACCCATCTCCATGGTAATTGGATCATGTTTGTAGTAACAATTTTTTTTTAACTAACATTTATGCATCAAACGTTCACAATCAACAACAACATTTGCAAAGTGCTGTATATGGAAGTAGTGCTTTTACACATTTAAAAAGACCTCTACTGCATTTCGCTTTGCTTAGCAACCACATCGTGCAAGTTCATTTCACATTTAGAAGCGTCCGGAATCGTCATCCAAATAACTTCGTAAATATTGTTTTCCAAAATCCAATCCTACTCATATGTATTGAGAAATGATAAGTTATTGTACAATTATTGTTCCCAGCAATACGAAGAATTGAATGTTCTTAATATATATCAGCAAAATACTTTTAATGTTCTTTTATTTATGTACAAATGTAAGATAAACCTAACCCCTATATCCTTTCAAAAATTATATGCAATAAAACAAAAAAACGAATATGACTTAAGAAATGACAATCTTATTCATCAACATTATTCTCATACAAGTTTTGGAAGTTTTTCTCTTTTAACATATCGCGAAGCTCTTCTGTGGAACAAATTAGTTTTAAAAAATTTTGATTTTTCTCAAAGTTGGAGTTTTCTTACTTTTAAAATTAAGATGAAAAAAGTTATCTTGTCAATTGATAATATCTTTGAGTTCTTTTGAGTTTATACTTTTTAAAAAAGTGTGTGATTCCTGAATATATTGTTTTATTTTGAAATATTTAGTTTTTTATATACTCTTTATGTTGTTAAACGTTATTTTATGTTTTGAAATATCTGGTTAGATTTAAATTTTATTTCTAAACGTCAGTTATTGTAATTATTTAACTGGTTATATTTTTACTGCATTCTCAAATGGTTCAGTGACAGGATCTTACGATTCTCTTTGAGTCTCCGTGTTCTGATATTTAATGTATAACGATATTTATAACGATATTTATATTGTAATAGGAACGAAAAAAAAAAAAAAAAAATACCGCTATTAACTACAAAAAATTTCAGAAAAAAGTTAATTTTTACATCATTAAACAACATTGTCAACTTTTTTTTAATTGTATTGTAACTACTGTTATAATTATAAAAAAAAGTAATTAGATGATTTCACAAAAACTGTCACAAAAACTGAAAAAATCTTTAAATGTACACATTTCACCCCTTCTTAATTTCTACAATATTATTATGAATGTATTGGTAATAAAACAAATAACTATAAATAACATTTAAATTAATATTTTCTTATTTTTCTTAAGCCATTCGTCTAAACTTGCTTTAAAACTATTCAAATTCTTGGAATCTACAACTTTTTCCGGAAGTTTGTTCCAAATTTGGCAAATACTGTTTGTGAAGAAATGGATTCTGGAGCTAACCAATGCATGAAAGCCATTTATTTCGCGAGGAGTAAAACACTGCATTCTAATTTTATGTTTGAGACCTCTAATGGAAGAACATGGGCCATCTAATTTAATGCTTGACTTATAGACTGGTTTGACATTTAGATTGACAAATTCTAGATTGTTTAGTATCTTATATAAATGAATAAGGTCTCCTCGTTTTCTTCTGAGATTTAAATTAATTAAATCTATTTTAACTAGCCGTTTCTCATAACTTAGCATTCGGTTTGAGTATGGTATTTTTGTGGCCCTACGTTGAACTCTTTTAAGCATTGAAATTTCGGCCACATTTGGAGGACTCCACGCTGGAGCCGCAAATTCAAGATGAGGTCGCACATAAGTAGTATACAAAATTTTCCACATATAACAATCTCTACTTTCAAAGGCATTTTTCAATAACCCCAGTATTTTTGAAGCTTTGTTAACACATACTTGCGTTTGATGCTTCCACCTCATATCCGGTTGTACAAAGACACCTAGATATCTTTCTAGTACACTGTTTAAGAGGTCATAAATCATTCATTTTATATTCATTGTGTATGTTTTATCAATACCTCTAAAAACTTTCTGATTGCCAAATCTCATCACCTTACATTTTTTGCAGTTTAGTTCCATACCCCAATTGTTGCACCATTTCACAATGTTGTCAAGGTTGGTTTGTATTTCCGTTTGTTTATCAATGGAATCTTCTATGGATGTTATTTTGCTATCATCAGCATACATTTTAAATGTGTTTAGCACAACTTCTGGGAGGTCATTTATGAATAGCAGAAACAACATTGGACCCAAAACGGAACCCTGAGGCACGCCACTGGTAACTGATACCCATTCTGAAACTGTATTACTAATAGCAACTCTTTGTTTCCTATTTGCAAGAAAACTTTCAATCCAGCGTTTCATAACGTCAAGTTATATTTTTATAGAAAAAAAAACTGTTTTTTAAAAGTGTCTAGATGGGAATTGCAAGTCTAGCCTTTTCTCTTTTTAATACATGTATTTATTTGTTTTCTTGAAGAATTGGTACTATGGATTTGTATATAGAAATTATGCATATATATATATATATATATATATATATATATATATATATATATATATATATATATATATATATATATATATACATATATATATATATATATATATATATATATATATATATATATATATATATATATATATATATATATATATATCCATATTTCTTCGCGTATTTTATGACGTTTTTTTGTTTTGATTTTGCGTTTCAAATAAAATTGAAAGTATAATTCCTAACTGAAAACTTAAGTTTTCAAGGTAATAAAAATAAAGATTTACTTTTTTAAAGGTATTTTGTCTGGATTGTTCAAATACAAGCTTGATTATTACTATTTTTACTACAGCCTGATATTTGTACTACAGATTCTTTAAACTGTTTTTTTCAAAACAAAAACCTGGAAATGGTAATCAACTAGTAAGTTTACAAAATGGAAATGTGTTAGAAAGTTATCTGTTTTTTCTACATTTTTTTATTTTTTATATTGGTATGAATGTACTCTAATAATAATTCAAATTTTTTTAGACTGTGAAATTAACAACAATCTACATGAAATGACGGTTCCATCTATAAGTCAAGATGTCAGTCATACTTTGATAGAAGTAAATTTTTAAATTCGGAACAATGTAGCACAAACATTCGACATTTCAATAATATTAGTTTTGAAATGTAAAATTATTTTCTTTTCTCAAAGCAAGAAAAAGAGTAGATCATCAAGCATGGCACTTTGATTATTAAAGGCTTTGTTATAATCGCTTAAATTAAGTTTAGTGTTTATTTTAACTCCAAAATATTTTCAGAAACAGCAACCTACAAGAATATTTTGGATTTTCTAAATATAAATGCTGGCATTTTTTGTCAAATATCCTGATTTTATGTTAATTAATAGCCACTTGTTAAAAATTTACTAAGGAAAAAATAAATATAACTTAACTTAGCAAAACCTTTTTTTACAAGATTTATATATATATATATATATATATATATATATATATATATATATATATATATATATATATATATATATATATTATTTACATAGAGAAAAAACAACTTTTCATGGGACTATAAGTTTCATGCCTATACGGCAATCATCAGCCATCTACTATATACATATATATATATATATACATATATATATATATACATATATATATATATATATATATATATATATATATATATATATATATATATATATATATATATATATATATATATATATATATATATATATATATATACACACATACACACATATACATATATATATATATATATATATATATATATATATATATATATATATATATATATATATATATATATATATATATATATATATATATATATATATATATATATATATACACACCCCTCTATTTGCAAAGTTGTTTACTTTCTTTATTATTAGAGTACTCTTAACCGAAATAGAGTTTTGTATTATTATTGTAATACAACATTAAACATCAATCGATATATATATATATATATATATATATATATATATATATATATATATATATATATATATATATATATATATATATCAATTTGCACACATAAAGAAAGGCGTATGGAGCAGGTAAGATATATTATAACATAACGATGTTAAAATACACAAATTAGTAATTTTTATATTAGGTACAATAAAGATTTACGCATTACTCAGCTGTTTTACAATTTTAAAAATATACATTTTTATTTCAAAATGATCAAAAGCTGTTAAATCAGTTGTAGCACAGCTTTTACCATTTCCCCTATGCCATCATGCACTTCATAGATTTTAGCATTACACATAAATGCTGGTGTCGTCACCAATTTGTTAACTTTATCTACGTGGCATTCCTACAAAATTTAAATAACACATGTTATAGAAAAACAATATTTGCTATAATCAATTAAATAAGAAAATAAGAAACTTATGGTAACGTTAAAAAAAATATAAGTATTTAATCCAAGTACGTGAAACCTTTTGGTGATTATTTAACTTATGACTTTTATCAATCAGAACAACTTTATTGCAACCTCTATTTAAAAAATCAACATGAATAATTTATAATCTTACATTGACATTTTTGTTGATGTGTGCAGCTCCTATAGAACCAATCGCATGAGCAGTATCAGCATAGGGCCATTTAGAATCTTCTGCATCCATTCCAACAGTCACTTCGCATGAAGAAATAACCTATTTAAAATCAACCACATTAAGCAAAATAGTAACTAAAATATTCTGGGGGAATGGGGAGAAGTCTAATATGTTCCGAAAAGAAAAAAAAACGTGTGAATAATTTTTTGGTGTAAAATGGGTATAATTCTGTTGATGAAAAACATCAAATAGCATATCTGAAATATTTAAAAAATAGCAATATCTTTTGTTCTTCATTGATGATTGTTGAATGTTTCAAATTGGCATAATTGCGACAAGACTTGAGAATATTTTAAAATACAATTTATTGTAATTTGAATTTGCATCCAAACTTTTCTAAAACTACCATTTTCATCAAAATTTAAATTTGCATTTATTTAAACTTATAATAATAACAGGAGTTAATTTTTGGTCAATTATTTTTATTTACGCAAAAACAAACTGCTTTTCTAGATTTAAAATGTGCTCTTAAAAAATTTCTTTAGGTATTCTTTAGTGTATTATTAAAATGTGCTCTTAAAAAATATCTTTAGGTATTCTTCGGTGTATTATTAAAATGTGCTCTTAAAAAATATCTTTAGGTATTCTTCAGTGTATTATTAAAATGTGCTCTTAAAAAATATCTTTAGGTATTCTTCAGTGTATTATTAAAATGTGCTCTTAAAAAATATCTTTAGGTATTCTTCAGTGTATTATTAAAATGTGCTCTTAAAAAATTTCTTTACGTATTCTTCAGTGTATTATTAAAATGTGCTCTTAAAAAATTTCTTTACGTATTCTTCAGTGTATTATTAAAATGTGCTCTTAAAAAATTTCTTTAGGTATTCTTCAGTGTATTATTAAAATGTGCTCTTAAAAAATATCTTTAGGTATTCTTCAGTGTATTATTAAAATGTGCTCTTAAAAAATATCTTTAGGTATTCTTCAGTGTATTATTAAAATGTGCTCTTAAAAAAATTCTTTAGGTATTTTTCAGTGTATTATTAAAATGTGCTCTTAAAAAATTTCTTTAGGTATTCTTCAGTGTATTATTAAAATGTGCTCTTAAAAAATTTCTTTAGGTATTCTTCAGTGTATCAAGTTTTTATTTATTAATAAAGAAATTTAAAGAATGATAATGTTGAAATAATCATGTGCACACACCCCTAAAACAGTGTATATGTTTAAAATAAGTGCATGCCCAAATAAAGATTCCTTGGCAAATTACTTGCATAGTCTCCATAAAAAAGTATTTAGCAAAATTTGAAATGCATGTCCCAGCAAATAACAGTGTTTTTTTTTACTTTTAAATTAAATAATTTAATAAGTTTAAATAAAACAAACAATTCTATTTAAAAACATTTTTTTTTTAAAGCTTTGTTTATTTAACACACTTGTGTAAAATAAACTAAATAGCAGTAAAAACTAGAATTATTAAATCATAAATTAACTGCAAATTTATAAAAATTAACTATAATAGATACCGATAGTTAATTTTTTTGGTTATTTATTTTTTTAATTATTAGTTCTTTATTATAAAATACAGTATTGGACAAAACATTTGCAACCAACATCGAACAATGCTAAAAAGTGTTTCTAATTTTACATGTCTTAAAAAATGAAACGAACTATACTACCATAGCAAACAGTTCAGGAGTCTGGAGTCATAGCATGCCATGACATGAACAATCAGCTGACAGGTGACAGCACACAGGCAGAATTTCGTTATCAGTATTATCAAGACAGTTTATCGAAGTGAGTTTTTAAAGCAATTAGAGCTGCCTGTATCGGACCGAACAATCAGACAATATGTTGTTGAAGCCGGATTGCTTTCTCGACACCCTGCAAAGAAACCGCTGACTTCACTAAAGAACCAGAAGAAAAGACTCCTGTTTGCTACATCTCATACTGACTGGAATGAGCAGAAATGGCGAACTGTCCTGTTCTGTGATGAATCGAAGTTCAACATCATTGGGAGCAATAGCATTTACCGTGTACGTTAACCAGCCAGAAAACGTCTGGATTTACATTACTGTCATAAGACCGTGAAGCATGGTGGAGGCAGTGTAATGGTCTGGGGATGTTTTTCTGCTAACGGTCTAGGTCCAATACATTGAAACGATGGAATAATGGACCGTTTCATGTATAAAAATATCCTGAAAGATGTTATGTTACCTCATGCTGAATGGCATATGCCAATAAAATAGGTTTTTCAGCAAGACAACGATCCGAAACACACTACAAAAGTAGTCAAGCAGTGGTTCCAAGACAACCACCTATTGATGATGGATTGGCTGCCTTAATCTCCGGATCTCAACCCTATTGAGAATCTGTGGGAGACCGTCAACTGCAGAATTAATTGTGAAGGTGTTTGTAATAAGGATCAACTGTTTGAACAAATCCAAAAGGCCTGGGCAGCGATTCCAAAAAGTTTCATTGATCACCTGATCGAATCTATGCCTTGAAGATGCAAGGCTGTGATCAACAACAAAGGATTCGCCACGAAATATTGATAGCAAAATACAGCTTGGTCAACATTTTGTGGAATTGCACTTGTTTTGTCCAGAAGGAAATCAACTTTTTTTAATACTTTTGATTAATTTATTAATTTTCGTGTACAAATAATGAACTTTGTGATGAATAAAACTTAAAGAACGTTGTCTCTAAACAGTTGCATAGTTAATTCTTTAAATTAAAAAAATGCAGCACTTTTATATAAAGAAACTAAATTAGCATTATTTGGTTGCAGTTGTTTTGTCCGATACTGTATATTTATTATTACATAATAATATATTATATTTATTATCATATAACAATATTATATAATTTGAATATATTATATAATATTTAAATATATATAGTATAATATTGCATCATGTGATAATGGTTATATCATATATTTGTGTATTAGACAATATATATTTATATTAGTGTTACATAATATATTATATACTATATAAATGTTATATAAATGTTGATGAAGTAAACATTGTGTTTTATATAAGTTTCTAAATAATTATTTATATAATTATAATTATAATTAGTTTTATATGTTTTTAAATCCAGATAACTAAAAGTTAAATAAAAAGGATATTTTGTGACATAAAATATTCAATTTTTCAGTAACACACTTTACCATTTGTCATAAATGCTGCTTTGTATGCTACCAAAAAGTAGACAGAAAACTTTCAGTAACAGTTTTGATACTTATAAAATAATTTATTTAATAAATAATAACCATGATAATCCATCTTTTGCTAATGAAAAGCACTTTGTAGGATCTACTCCTCATTACTTTCAAATACAGCTTTAGGAGTAGTTCTCTCCATTTTAACCAGAAATAAAAATGTCTGTGATTACCTGCAAAGTAGTAAGATGTAGTTTTAAAAGGATCAATAAAGCCTGCTGCAGAAGGGAGTCACAAAGATTCTCTACTGGAGATAAATGAACCATTGGATCCATTAAAGAGCAAAATCTTGCTTTGAAACCATGATGTAATTCTAATTCATCATTTAAAGAACTTTATAATTATAAAGACATGATGAAACTGAAACATCATCTCTATTGAAGAAAAATTAATCTATTGTAGAATAATTAAGTGACAAAATAGGGGCCAAGAAAAATGGGATATCTTTTTTGTCCCCATTTTGTCACATAGTTATCGGAACTCCTCTGTTAGACAAAAAGTTCATAGAAAAGAGTTTAAAGGAAACCAGTGTAAAAAATAAATGAAATTAACAAATAAGCTTAAAGACGTTTTCCCTGAAATTCTGAGGGGATTTTGTATGGCTTACACATGCTTTAGCAGGATACTCAGTATTGAACTCAGATTTTGAAAAAGCAATATATTACTTTTTTAATAAATGTCATTTTACTAATAACCAAATTTTGAAATTATTTTGGAATATAACAATTTAAAGGTGTTGTAAACATCAGTTATGCAGATTTCTTACCTTATAGAATTACTACTCAAAGAGTAGTGATTCTCATATAATTTTTAAGTAAGCTTATATAATTTGGTTACTAAGTTATTTTATACTACGTTGTATATGTACATCTATATTATAACAGGCTGATATTTATTGTAAATTTAATTTGTAAGCATACAAAAATGTGCAAAATAAATGCAAATACAAACATATATACACAGTTCCTAATCAAATTATTGACCCACCTTATTTAAGCATATATACACTCAGCTCCTAATCAAACTATTACATCTTATTTATTAAACTTGGAAAATTTTACATTGGAAACAATTTTTTATCGTTCATTAGTTAACATGGTGTTATTGGTAATACTGTATTATTTTAGTACTTATTGAGTTTATTTGCATCATATAATAACTTATTGAGTTTATTTGCATCATATAATACTTATTGAGTTTATTTGCATCATATAATAATTTACAAAACATCTGGTAATGTCTAAACATATTTAGACATAAAGAACAACTGCTCATAAAAAAAAAATTTAATTTAATTTTAAAATTCAAAAACCTAGCTTAGGCATAAATAAAAGATTTAATGGTCTTAAGGGTCGCCTAATAGCATAAACGGAACCTAACATTCTGTCTTTCAAGTCCTTTCTAAACGTAATAAACTTTTTTTCAACTTATGTGCATTAGTAACTAAAAAATATGACAGATTATGTAAATTATGCAGATTATGTAAATAATGCAGCATTCTTGAAAAAACTTAAAGAAAAAAATTTAAAATAGAAAAGTATAAAATACCTTCGCTGCAATAACTGGTGCTATGCAACATAACCTTAAAAATTAAATTCTCAAATATATTTTTATGCTTAATATTATTTGTAAATAATAAAATTACATTAGAGGTTTACCCAATTGGTTTTTTAAAAGTATGAAAATCTTTGATAACTCTTTCTACTTGATCATTGACATTAAAATCTGTACCTTTGACAGCGAAATTGCATCTAGATAAAAACATTTTTATATTAACACAACATAACATATTACATAACATATTGTATAACACATACATGTAATTCAAAACATTTTTAAATATTTACTTCTATTGAATTCTACACACAACATATATATAAAACACCAGTCATTTTAAAATTAGCTTATTACAAACAAAACAACTTAACCTACCAAATTATTTTTGCCAAACTAAATTTAACACAAAAAAATTATGCATTAGTAGTAATATTTTTCTAAGGGTTTTCCTTTAAATTTTTTTTTAATTCGTTGTGGTAGTAGTGTAGTGGTTTAGCACTCACTTCCAGGACAAGAAGTTCTGAGATCAATCCCTACCTCATCCCTGGTAGTTGAGCGCAGAACTTGTTTCTCAGTGCAGCAACCTTTTTTGTCAAAGTTTGTGCTTTAGAGTCTCCTCAGCTATACTTAATCCTTCAGCCTATAATATTGCCAAAAGAAAATAGGGTTTTGACAAAAGTTTACCGAAGGTGACAACCTCAATCTGTCAAAATATTTAAACAAATATCAGGATTGTAAAATGATTAGAAATAAATCTGCTCTGATAAGCTAAACCATAAAGTGAATAAAATAAATCTTAAAATGCTAAAGTTTTGTAACCATATGTATTTTCTTTAAGTTCGCCAACATCTTGTAAAATGCATCAGTTGATATCATTATATCAACTAATATAAAACAAAATACTAAAATTGATATAAAACATAATTTTAAAGTTAATATAAAGACAGACTAAAGTTGACGTAAAACAGAATAGTAAAGTTGATATAAAAACAGAATGCTTAATTTGATATAAAACAGAATACTAAAGTCGATATAAAAACAACAAAGTTTTCCTCAGAGCAAATGAATTGTTTGAAACAGCTAAAAACCAAGAGTTAAAACCCATTAACTTAATGAAACCAAAATATAATTCACCAACTCATACAATGCTTTCAGGAGAGCTCTGAGTTTTTAATGAAGCAAACAACATTATAATGTATCAACTCACCGAGGATGAGACAATAACCATGCAAAATAGAAGAGGTAGTGTTACTCATGATAAGAATATTGGTTAGAGCGCACATGAACAGACTTGAGTGTAAACTTTTAAGCCTAACTGATTGCATATAATAATTTTATTTTTACATTTTTCATGTGCCCCAATAAGTCCTTATGGTCTTATCACAGAGCACCACGGAAGAGCATTTAATAGGAAGCTCACGCCTTCTTCCCAACCGGTATAGCAAAACTTGCCAAGAGGTGGGATTTGAACCACGGATCTTACATATCAGATGCCTCAGATACATAAGATCTTGGCAAGTATCTGAGGTAAGTGCGCTACTACTGTGCCACAGCTGCTCTAAATTGCAAAAACATCCAAGTATTGCACCAAACTAATATGTTATCTAATTAAAGATTTTAGAAAAAAAATAGATAAATAAATAAAGAAGTATTTGCAGTGGTAACAGATTAATGCAGTAGTGGCAGAGTGCTTGCTTCATAAGCTACAAGTTCCAAGTTCGATCCCCACCACATCCCTGGTAGTACCGCACTCAACGTGTTTCTTTGCACAGCAGCCTTTTTCATCAAGGTTGGTATTTTGGAGTTATAGAGTTGAGAGACTAGAGTTGTCTCCTCAACTGTAGTGGCTTTCATGGACTTGGGGAGGTATATTGAAATAAAAAAAACAAAAAACAGATAATGAAAATAAGATTGAAAAAAAAAAGAAGAGAGAGAGTTAATTTTAGAAATACCCATTATTTAAATCTTTTAGGAAAGCAACTAACTCCAATGTCTTAAATTACGTGTTTGATGAATCAAAATCATTTCACAATAAACATAAATAACATGTTATATTTGTAATATAATCAAATTTAATCAAAGTTTAATAAAATTAACTATTAAATTTGTGAGCATTTTATTATGAATTTGTTACATTAACGACATTTATATATTTTTATGTTACACAGGTGATTATCAGTCCTCAATTTTTAATCTAGAGTTTAGAACATATATAGTACCACATTTATTAGACACTTGTATGGTGCGATTATTTTAGTTATGAATACCATTATAAACCAGCGAATTTTTATTGACTTGTTTACTCATAGATCATTGTTTCATCATTTGCTAAAAGATGACTAGAGTGTAAGTTTTTATTCCTCTTTTCCTGAGTTGCTAACTTTTATTCCTCCTACTAAATAATCTTTACATTAATTTATGTTTTTTTACCTAAATGACATCATCTTCAATCTGTTTTTATTTTCACATCTCCCAGGTCTACGTAACTGGACGGCTCCGTTGGTCACTTTTTGCGATCATTGTGTCGCATATGCAAAAAACTATTAAATTTTCCAATTGTTTGAGAACTACAACTTTATATGATTTATACTACTTTAATTTCCTTGCTTTATTAAAGCAAGGTAATTAAGTTAAATATTGAATTAAAATTGAATCAACTAATATTGTTGAATATTTATAGCTGGCTTATAACTTTGTGATAAATATATCAAAAAGTTATAGAACCAAAAAACTCTTGATGTTATAATAAAAACATTTTAGTAAATTTTCTCACAGTAAAATTTGTTTGTTATTTAATTTTATTAATTGTTACTGTTTAAAATAATAGTGATTTTTACTGCTCAAAAGTGATAGTATATGATATATATATGATTATAAATTGTCATTACGGCAACAACTATCTTTTTACTTAGATATTTATTACTCGATGAACTTCTATCTGTTTTATATGTGTGAAAATAAAATCATAACTAAGTGTTCTAGCAATGGTATTCTATGCCTTGCTAATTTATTTACTTAATCCATTAGTTTTTCTGTATGTGTGTATGTGTGTATGTATGTATATATGTGTATGTATGTATTTATGTATGTATGTATGTATGCATGTATGCATGTATGTATGTATGTATGTATGTATGTATGTATGTATGTATGTATGTATGTATGTATGTATGTATGTATGTATGTATGTATGTATGTATGTATGTATGCAGAATTAAGAGTATTATACATGGATTAGTTCAAGACATTTTGCAAATACAAACACACACAAAAAAAGGTTATTAACTGACAGATTTTTAGCAGCACCAAAACCTCCAGGAAAAATTACAGCATCAAAATTTTCGGCTGATAATTTCTCTAGTGACTGTACATCCCCACGTGCTATTCGGCCAGATTCAATAAGAACATTTCTAAAATTATGCAAGTTTAAATAATCAAATCAAATAAAATTTTATGAAACACTTCTTTGTAAAAAAGAAGACATTTTTTTATAACAGCTTAATAAAAAAGTAAATAAAAAACTATGGATAAATAATACAGCACTTTATAATTACTATTATTCTACTAATTGTATTTATATTAAACACACACACACAAAGCCAACATTAATTAACATTAATTAATATTAACTAATTATAATTATGTAAATAATTACTTGATAAATACTATTCTACTAATCATATATATAATATAATAATAGAATAATAATTTATAGATTAAATTCAACAAGATATGCCGATCCACACAGCTTAGACAAAACTATCGATAAAAGAAACAATGCAGATGTATAGCATAGACCAGCTTGATCTTCAGATTTGAATCCAACTGAATTTATTTGTGCTCAAAGGGATAAAGAATTAGTCAAAGTCTGAAGTTGATCCATAAATAGCCTAAAACAAAAACCTGTTTTTTTTATAGATTTGGAGAAAAACTCCAACCAAAATCATCAACAACTTTGTAAACATGATGCAAAAAAATGTGTAGTTTGAAAAAAAGCAAGTGGGATGCTTTAAATACTAGTTTTAGATGTTTCTTTTTGTTATGCTTATTTTTAAGATTCTTTTCACAAAAATATTTCTTACAAATAAATATAAAACTAGTTCAATTTCTTTTTTTTTTTTTTGCCATCATAAAGTCTGTTATGTTTACATATCTACATAAAATACAGAATATATTAATTACATAATATCTACATATCTACACATTTTTTTTTATATGCTGATTGCTCATCTTACACTTTTATTTTGATGCAAACTATGCTCGCTTTTTTAATAGTTATTGTTATAAATGAAGATTGATTTTCATTTTACATCTGAAAGAACGAATTCAACGTAAAGTAGTCTTAGTACTCATTTAACTTGTTTATCTGATTGGACACTAAAAAATTGAATATGATTCTATTTGCGTTCAGGAAAAGATATTAATCATCTAAATATACATTGAAAAATACATAGAAAGTAAATCAAAACAAGTTAAAACTTTTTGATTACAAATATAGATACACTGCACTATTTTGAGTATACACAGTGTTACCGAGATATTAGCTTATGTGATAAATAAAGCCATTTTAGATTTTAACTACACACCTTTAAAAAGCATGGTGCATCACCATGTCAGAACATTTGTCAGAACATTAGTTACAAAGTATTGAAATCTGTTTTATGCTGGAACAGAAAACTGATATTTTATGTTCTTGGTAGTTCAACTCTGATTGACTGTTCTGCTTACATTAGCTGTAGATAGTGATACAAAACTTCTTAGGGTGTACGCATCACTTTCTGAGACAGGACACAGCCAATGCTATTCTTTAGCAGTTCAAGTCTTCTCTGCATAAAACTTTTATTATAGGTATGTGTTCTAATACCTCTATGAGATTCAAATCTAATAGATCAAAATCAGATTTGAACCTGATTCAAAATTAGATTCAAAGAAATAAACTTATTGTCACATTCATATTGTAATAAGTTTCATTAAAAGAAATATTTAAATACCTTTCCTCTTTCATTTCTTGTCCAGTTAAATGATTAATTACATGCATTTGTTTAATATCAGGGGCAAAACATTTGTACTCTGCATTATTCCTACTCAAGTTAACTAGCACACTAAAATATTATAATTATACCTTATCAAATCAATTTTTTTGTTGTTAAATTAAAACAAATACATAATTGATAAATAAAAAACAGATTTGAAGAAATAAATTACGCTGATGCTTCATGAACTTCAGACCCATCATAAACTCCACAGCCAGATAACACCTAGAATTAAAACTAAAATATTGCGAAATCAAAACTGTATGAGCAATGCATTTATAACCTGAACATAAACAACTAGTGAATAATTTTATTTATATTTTTAATGTAAGAAATTGAAAATAATATTAATTATTATTACGATTATGGTAATAACAACAATAACAACAATAATAATAACAATGTACAAGATTAATTTAGCAAACAGGTATAGTAAACACAAATATATAATACGACATCAAATACTTTGGTAAATAAAATATAAATAATATAACAGAACAAGTGTTGTAACTTTATTGAGTTTAAATAAAATTGAGAAAAGTTGAATTCAAGTCTATAACAGTCATTTAATGATTAAGAAGTTAAAAAACAGAAATCTTGCCAACTTGATTCTTTAACTGATTAAGATAAATGGACTGCTTCATTGCTAAAAAGATTCCAGTCTTTTGCTATTTAAATGAAAACCTTGTTTCTAATAGACTGGTATTTACTATTATTTTTTAGAAATTCTTTGCTAATTGTTCATTGATGGCTTCTTGTTTTAGATTTTCTTTGAAATTTCATAATCAAGTTTCTCGCATAACTATTAAGTCTTTTTTGGTCATAATTTTTTGCTGCTCTATTTTAAACTTTTTTTCTAGTAATTTATTTTCACATTTCTTAGAAGGATTCCAAAATAAAACTTTTTCAGTTCTCAACAAATCAATCTCATTTATTGGGAATTTATTTTCAGATTTATTTTCCAAAATGCATCAAATTACAACTTAATTTGGTAAACTTAATCAACCAGTCGCTTATCTACTTTTTTAAAAAGTTGATTTTAAAAGAGAGATTAAGATTAAGATAAAGGGTTCAAATTTGATGATTGTTTTGTCTTGTCTTGTTTACGTTAACATGTAGTCTTAACAAGCACATCATTAATAAACATGAATAATAATGGTCCTAATACTAATTTTTCAGGGACACTATTTTTGGATGATTCCCATTTCCAAACAAACTTGCACACAATTAATCTCTAATATTGATTTCTTAAAATGCTTTCACGTTATTCATATACTCAAATGTTTTTGATTGTAACCAAAATCAAATACTTTTCTGAAGATATTACAAATATTAAAAAACATAATATCAATGTTAAGGCCATCTGGAAAGGATTTGAAGATAAGTTCCATAAATTCTAGCAACAAAAAATTGCTGAATTCAGGGCTTTGAAATATATTTAAATATGGATAAATAATACAGTACTTTATAATCACTATTATTACACTTGTTATATTTATAACACACATAATTATAACGCACACACATAGGAATTGTTACCACAAAACAATTTCTTGAATTTAGCAAAAAATTGCTAAATTCAAGAAATCTTTCACAACAAAAAAATTGATAGCAGATTTGATATTTTTCAGGTTTCTGTACAAAATATACACACAAAAATGGCTAATATGGAGAACTTGACACCGAAGAGGGTTGGTAATTATGAAAAGAATAAAACATCAACACCACACGAGGAAAGAATTCAAACAAAGATTGTTATAGAAAATAGGCATGCCAACAGCAATGCAAAAACTGAAAAGCTAGTTCAATCTGGTGTCAAAGTAAATGGTTTAACATCACCAGCATGATCTTGGTTATATTTCATAACATCTAGCTAAGGAGCCTAAACTGACACAAAAAATGATGCAAAAAGACTAGTAGGCAAAAAAGTTGAGGAATTTAATAGAAGATAGTCGGAAGTCGGTAAAATAAATTCAGATACAAAATTAATTTTAAAATATTTACTGTCTTGCATTAAACTTAAAAGATTTGCTACACAACCTTTGTATAACAATTTTAGATATGGTTTAGCAACAAGAGTACTTATGAGAACCATAATGAAAGATAGAAGGAAATGATAGATGAATGCATCAAAAGTATGTCAAAAGGATTCTTGCTGTTTTAGAGGCAAAAAGGACAACTAAATATTTATTTTTAATATATTTGTAGTAATTTTTAAATATTTAAACTCATTAATTTATTAAATGCTTTTAATAAATTAATGAGTTTAAATATTTACATAAACAGTGGTGTTCACTGGACTTTTAGATGTTTGAGTTTTGACACTTACAGGTATTGTGCAAACTCCAAACTTTTGTATGTTCATGCTTATGTCAAATGAGAATGTTTTGCAAAGAGTTGGTGATAAGAGCTTGAGATTAAAAAAACCCCAATTTTTGGGCCCACCCAGCCCTTAACGTGGGAGCAACAAGTTGATAAAATGATTTCTTTAGTATTTTTATCTAAGTTTATATTCATCAACAAATTTCAAATTTCATCCAATAATTTCTTTTTTTTCGAAAATTATGACCATATAAAGTTTTAACCCCCCTCAATTTGAGGGGGCTGTAAACTTTGTAGGGACATAAAAACTAAAAACTATTTTATTGCATTATTGTATGAACTTGCAAATTGCAAAACTATTTTATTGCATTATTGCATGAAATTTGAAATTTGTTGATGAATATAAACTTATATAGAAATACTAAAGAAATCATTTTATCAACTTGTTGCTCCCACGTTAATGGCTGGGTGGGCCCAAAAATTGTTTTTTTTTTTGTCCCCAAGCTCTAATCACCACTTTGCAAACTCTTTGCAAAACATTCTCATTTGACATAAGTATGAACATACAAATGTTTGGAGTTTGCACAATGCGTGTAAGTGTCAAAACTCAAACATTTAAAAATCCAGTGTACACCACTAATAAATCACAAAAATTTATTAAAATAATTGGCTTTTAAACTTGAATACAAGAAAAAATGTGGGTGGCCATAATAAATTGTCACATGACTGTATGTATGTATGTATGTATGTATGTATGTATGTATGTATGTATGTATGTATGTATGTATGTATGTATGTATGTATGTATGTATGTATGTATGGTTAAGAGCACAAAGGGAATATGTCCACTAACCATTGTTTTGAGAAATCTGAATTTGAAAGTTTGAAAACATACAATAATTCATTTATTTATTGTCATGATTTTTAACCAAATGCATTCCTCATTTAATTTTATCTTGTTTTTTACTATTTTATTTTTATTTCTTTTACATACTTTAATACCTAATTTGTTTAATGTTTACCTAATGTTTAATGTTGGACATATTCCCTTTGTGCTCTTAACCATCGATATATATAAACAATTTTAAAATGTATTCTATAAAAAAGAGTGCTCAATGCTCTTAAAAGAACAGAGTAATTATAAAGTAGTAGAAAATCACTTAGCAAAATTTTTTTCATTTAACACTGTGTTTTATCAATAAAGACTCAATATGACATTTGCGAAATCCTGCAATTTAATATTTTGGTATAAATTGAAGTTTTATTAATTTGATCATTTATTTCTGATGAGTCTTTATCGATGAAACACAGTGTTGAATGAAAAAAATTTTTGCTAAGTGATTTTCTACAACTTTATGTATATATACAAAAAAATAACTATAATAACTAATAATAATTATATATAAAAACAACTTTAAAAAGTTATCAATTATAATAAACTAAAATTTTTTAAAAAAAGTGCATTTTATCACTTATGTGCAAATTATTTTTTTAATTAAATAATATTTAAAGTGAGAAATAAATTCAAAAGATTACAAAGATTTAACTGTATAAATTAAAAAGTATATATATATAAAAATTATTAATAACAAATTTAAAAAAAAAAAATTTAAAAATAATAAGTTTTTATTTATAAATTTTATAAAAATAAAAAAAGCAATTAAAATAATTTAAACTAATAAAGGTTAGAGAGTTAAAATGCAATAACAATTTTTAAGTTTCAAGTTTTTATTTGATTTTAGAAACTAAAATCCAAAACATATGAACTTTAAAAACTTTGAAATTAAACTATTTCATTTGAAACAATTTAATTTCTTATTTTAATGAGTTTGTTTAAAATAATGAAACAAATAATAGAAAAAAATAAAAACTTACAACAGCAACATTTGGTACTGCATTAGAAGCCATAATATTTAGAATACAATAAAAATATTAGTGCAGAATGTCTAAATAAACATTTAACTTTAACATTTTAAGAATAAAATTTTAACCAATAATAAGAGTATATTCGAATGTTCAAACTATTATCTATATGCTATATTCTAAACAGCAGTATATAGCAGTATAGTGAGAGCATTGTTGTGGTCAACCTCTTATCAAAAAAAAATGTGACTAAATCCTAATACTGCTAACTTATATTTGATAAAATGATATATGTACTAAACCCCATAAAATGATATATGTACTAAACCCCTGCTTAAGAACATATAATGAGGGTAAGGAAAGACACTATCTACATACGAGGAATATCTACTACAGCAAAAAAAAATATCTACTACAAAAAAAAAAAATTTTTCCCGCGTACTTTTCATTGCTTTTTGACTGCATCAAATTTTTTTTATTATTATCATTTGTACTTAGACTAATATACTGAAGATTTAGTGCACACATTGATTGAGGATTTAGTGTATACATTGACTGAAGATTTAGTGCATACATTGACTGAGGATTTAGTGCATATATTGACTGAGGATTTAGTGCATACATTGAATGAGGATTTAGTGCATACATTGAATGAGGATTTAGTGCATACCTTGAATGAGGATTTAGTGCATACATTGAATGAGGATTTAGTGCATACATTGAATGAGGATTTAGTGCATAAATTGACTGATTTTAATATTCTTTATTTTGCTCTTCTTTTTTATTAAAAAAAAATGGATTTGTCAGCTTTTTATAAATCAAATAGTACAAAATACATTGGGGTAGTTAAAACTAAATCCATAAGAATAAATATATATTCTTAAGGTCCTTAGCCACATTAAATGCACTAAGTTAGGAAAAGATAAAATTTCAAAATACCCCGTCCCCAATTGATTTGCAGGTAAGGGTATGAGAAGCTTGAAAACCTTGGCTGTTAATCTATCCAGCTATTTAATAAAAAAAAAAATCTCATTTGCAAAACAGGTTTATACCAAGAAGGGCATCTGGTTAGAAAAATTGTTTCAACTTTTCCTTAACATCGAATAAGGAAATAACATCATGGAAACCCATCCAAACCATTTACAATTTGGAACTATATATTGATTGTGCTCAACCATTTGCTTTATTAAATAGTTTTATTAATTTTATGCATATACCAAGATTGATATTCTGGACAAAAAAAATTTGTAGACAAAGAATGAAAATCTAAATTTGTAGACAAAGAATGAAAATCTAAATTTGTAGACAAAGAATGAAAATCTAAATTTGTAGACAAAGAATGAAAATCTAAATTTGTAGACAAAGAATGAAAATCTAAATTTGTAGACAAAGAATGAAAATCTAAATTTGTAGACAAAGAATGAAAACCTAAATTTGTAGACAAAGAATGAAAATCTAAATTTGTAGACAAAGAATGAAAATCTAAATTTGTAGACAAAGAATGAAAACCTAAATTTGTAGACAAAGAATGAAAATCTAAATTTGTAGACAAAGAATGAAAATCTAAATTTGTAGACAAAGAATGAAAACCTAAATTTGTAGACAAAGAATGAAAATCTAAATTTGTAGACAAAGAATGAAAATCTAAAGGATCCTCATCTTTTAGAGTTTAATTCATTCATTGTCTACAAATTAAAAAAAAGGCTGTTACACTAACTAGAATGATTTTTGTTTGGATTCAGCAAGATTTAAAACTTCAAGAAAATATGCATACAGAGTGAGAAAAGCCTGACATGAATTAACTAGTAAACCCAAGTTTAAAGTTTGAAAGTTTAAATACACTTTAAAAAAATGAAAAAATTTTAAAACCACAAAAACCAAACTTTATTAATAGAAAGTCTTTGTTTTTACTTTTTTGTTTTGTCCTGTTTTTAAATACTTTTTTTATTTTATTTTTGATTTATTAACAGAATTATTTAGAAATAGACACAGGGCAGCATACATACATCGCCTAATTTAGCCAAAGGTGCCGCGAATTGAACAAACACTAACTGAAGGTTTTGATTTGGGCAGCCAGTCTATTAATTTCAAAAATTAAAAATATTTTCATTATAACAAACAAGTTTATACATAAATTAATAATATATTATTCGACATCTGGAACATCTTCTAATTTAGACGCTATTTCAAGAAAACTATTTGATTCAAACAATATTAATCATTAAAGAATAAATTTTAATTTTATTAATTACATTATTAGATCTCCTCCATAGGTAAAACCCTAAAAACCCAAACCCTAAGCCTCAATAAATTTATGCACTAAAGCCCCACTAATCCCTATTTTAGTATGATTTCATTGTGTTTCATGCAAATCTAGAGCTTAATATTCCATGATAATTGAGGTAATTGTTTTATTTTTTTATTATTCTGTTTAAAATTAGAAGCTTAAATAATAAAGAATTCCGTAAATTATTTTTTACTATTCTTTTTAAAAATAGAAGTTTAAAAAATAAAACGAATCTTTATTTTATATTTATTGTTAAAAAATAAAGATCTCAACTCAAAATTTACAACTGATTTATAAATTTCAACAGAGGAAATGTTTAACTTTTTTGGTGATTACCAAAAACTTTTAAACAGGAAATATTAACCAATTAATATAATCAGAAAGTTTCACCCAGAACAACCACGACATCCACAATGTATACACTCTACAACACGTCCTTCTTCCAACTTGGGTTTTGGAACACGACAAATACAGTTTGTACCAAAATTTGTATCTCTGGGTTGAATACAACGCAAGCAGCATAAGTTCTCATAACCCTGTTTCTTCCATTTAGCAATTAAGTTAGCATCAGCAATATTTTCTTTAACACAATAATCATAAAGTTCTCTACTGATAGCTTTTCTTTTATAAAATAAATCATAAAGATATCTTGACTTTTGATGATGTAACCGAAATATGGGCCATAGAGCTTCAACTTTACGCTTGCCTTCATGTGGATCCTGTTCAACCTCACGCATTTTTGCATCTAACTCATCTAATGTAGGTTCAATTAGTTCCCAGCCATCTGGTGGTGGCTTACGACTTCTTTTAACTTTTGGCATTTTTTCTTAAATAACAAAAAGATTATTAAATATTTTTAAAACAATAGTTATTTGTAAAGGTTATTTACCAATAAAATTTATGAGAATCGTAAAGTAACCTATACTTTATGTTTTAAGTATTTCTACCAATAAAATTTATGAGAATCGTATACTTTATGTTTTAAGTATTTCTACCAATAAAATTTATGAGAATTGTAAAGTAACCTATACTTTATGTTTTAAGTATTTCTACCAATAAAATTTATGAGAATCGTATACTTTATGTTTTAAGTATTTCTACCAATAAAATTTATGAGAATCGTAAAGTAACCTATACTTTATGTTTTAAGTATTTCTACCAATAAAATTTATGAGAATCGTATACTTTATGTTTTAAGTATTTCTACCAATAAAATTTATGAGAATTGTAAAGTAACCTATACTTTATGTTTTAAGTATTTCTACCAATAAAATTTATGAGAATCGTATACTTTATGTTTTAAGTATTTCTACCAATAAAATTTATGAGAATCGTAAAGTAACCTATACTTTATGTTTTAAGTATTTTTATAAATGTTATTTAAAAATTGATAAAAAAAGGATAATATAAAATTATATCATTTGATAATTGATAATTGATAAAAAAAGGATAATATAAAACTATATCATTTGAAATATAAAATTTATATTTCATATGATTTAATATAAACTAAGACAAATTATATTTAAATACTGGTTATAACAATTTAAATAATAATTATCAATTATCAAACAAATATTTATAAACAGTTAAATGAATAGTTTTAATAATTGATATAAAAGCAAATTTTCAATAAAAACAATATTATAATTATTATATAATATAAAAAATAATAAATAAAAGAACAATAATCATTATCATTAAAAAATAGAATTTGTTAGAAAACTTTAAAATAACAACAGTTTATGAAACCTTCAAATTTCCAGTTTGAAGAATTCATTTAACATTAAACATTAGAAGAAGTGTACAACACCGGATACTTGTAAAACAACAAATACTAGTATTAAAAAATCAATATCACATATAAAATAAATTTGTATAAATTGTATGATAATGTAAAAGTTATAATTCAGCTTAAGAATACTGTAGCTTAAGCTAAAGCATATTTATTAATATATTAAAAATATTATATGAACACTAGAAACATTATGATATCCATAAAATAGATATTTATACATAAATCATATGATTTATGATATATATTAAAGATTTCTTTTATATTTATTTATATAAAAAAAAATCAGTTTACATGTTTAATGTTTTATTTACAAAAATAGTTAAATCAAAAATTTTGTAAATAATAATATGAAAGTGAAAAAACTTTGATAACAGTACAAATAGATTATGTTGTGTTGATTTAAATCCAAAATAAATTCCTAACACATTAAACAAAGAAAAATTTTCATAAGAAATTTGTATAAAATAAAGAAACATAAATAAAATGATTTAAAAAACAAGCAATATAACAAAAAAAACAGCAGTTGGGAAAATGCTAAGAATTCTTCAGTAAGGTTCTCATCAAACAAATATTGTGAAATGCTAAGGAACCTTCCACAAGATCTTTATCAAACGAATACTTTGAAATGCTAAGGAATTTTCAAATAAATTTTCATTAAATTACTATTAGGAATCTTACGAATTCTTCATTAAATTTGAATATAAATGCTATCAAGTTGCAGAAAAATCTAAATTAAAACATTTGAGTTTTTCATAAAGCTCAAACATAACTGATGATCTCTAGCATCACCCCATCCTCCATTCAATCTTGGCACAAGAGCTTTGAAGGTTGACTCTTTTAACGTGACTTTATTATTTTCCATTTGTTCTTTATTTTTATTAATTATTCCCTTCACCTTTATCAAAGTGGCTTTTGAATTTTCACAATCTTTATTGTGGTGTAAACCGCTAGAAATATCAAAAAATTTGAAATAATTAAACAAAAAAAATTATGATTAACTATCATCAAAATTCATTAGACAATATTTGCACATTTTAAAAACTTAACATTACTTATTAAAGAGATAATAATCACTTTTAAAGAGATAATATTCCCATTTAAAAATTAAAATAAAAATTTTGTGATGTTACTGTTAATTACTAAGATAATTAAAAACTTATGATTTAAAAAAAGTCTTAACTCTAATTAATAAATCAACATAATAAACAATAAATAACATTAATATAAGACTAACATAATAATTAAACAACATAAACAAACATGCTTTAATACTAAACATTAAATTACTCAAAGAGTGAATTGATAGATTCTATTATGCAAACATTAAGTATAAAAACTTACCAATCACCAATATGGTACATTCTTGGAACTTTATAAACAAGAACTGAAAGTTTTCTCTTTAAGCATTCTAAGCTAAGATGCATGATGGTCCAATCCCAGTTGTAATCATCATATTTGCAAAATTTCTTTGAAATAAAAAAAAATTAAAACTATATTTATTTTTTAATTAATTAAACATTTGTTATAAATATAAACACATATGCAACAATTAAGATAAACATTGTAAATATACAATAACATAAATAAACCTAAGATAGAAGAGCAAAAATTGACTAAGCACAGGTAAATACAAATTATAAAATACCTCAGCGCACATTTTGATTTCATTCCATGTACTTCGATACAAAGCCATTCCCATATTGTGCTGAGTTGATATCCAGTCACCTATATATGCCTACAAAAGAGAAACTGAAAAACAAAAAAAAAACACAAAAGAAACACAATGCAATACAAAAAGAAAACAAAACAAAAACTATTAATAAAATGTTAATTTTTCATGAATTTTTTCTCTAAAATGAAAAATGAAAAAACAATATATCCATATAAAAAACAATATATCCATAAAACTCCAAAACTACATAGGCCAAAACTAATGATTCTGGAACTCCAGCTATACAGAATAAAATTTAATAAAGAAAAAAATTTTGAAACCTAGGTTGTTTTACTTTTTTAACTCACACCTGCAGTGAATCTAATCAATTTAAAATTGGTAAAAAATTGGTAAAAATGTGTAATTAAAAAATAATAAAGTTTGAGAAAAAAATATATACTTTTTTAAAAAAATAAGAGAAATTCTGAATCCTTAATTCAAAATTATGTTTTTTTTGCTGCACTTTTCTGAAAAATTTTTTATAAGCTCATCGCATACTTTATATGTTTGTTAGTTTAAAGATTTATCACTGCTACTATTGCTTGTGTTACACTTAAAATGAAGATGACCAGCACAGATATTAGGTTGCAAATTGAAGAATTTATACAACTGGCAAATGCTAAAATATAGATTTTATTGGTTTCTAGTATTTGAGGAAAAAAAACTGTTATTTTTCTTATTATTAACACTTAAACAATTTAAATTTGCTTTTACAAAATAACTGTTTAAAGTTTTCATCCTATTACTTAGTATACCATTGTATTAGTATTATTTTTAAATTCTCAAATTGTTTATCAAATAATTTTAGTAATTATACTTTGAATACTTACAAGAAAAATAAATTGCTTTCCATCAAAAAAAAAAAACTTTTATTTTTATTTTTTTTTCATTTTTAAAGAAATATTTTTTTGAGATTTTTTTTATTATTATTTTCTTTAGTCCATTTCCTTTTTGAATTAAGAAAAATTTATGTGAGAAATGACATTGTAAAAAGTATTGTATAACTGTTGTTCACAATTTAATTTTTCCTTTTTTTTCAATCTTATTTTTGTAAATGCTATTAAATTTTATTTTTTACCATTATATCTCTGAGAGCAGAAATGTTAGTTAATCATGTCATAAACACTAATTAAAAGTTTACTACATTAAAAACCATACAAACTTATAATAAATGTACCTCGTCAACATTGTTAAGAGTTTCTTCATTCATAGCATATGAACCAATAGTCAAAATATCACATGAAGTCTTACATAGAGGATGGCTAGAAAAAACTGTAATGTATAAACTATGCAACTATATTGCAAAAATTATTCAACTCTAATATGTTATCATAAAACTTGTTTTTGATGTTATATTTTTGTTATAATTATTTTATTAAATGATGTTGTTTTTATTTTAAAAAAAAGATTTAAGTACACCTTTTATAAAATAGATATATAAAAATCTTTTAAAGGATATAAAACCATAGTTATTTAAAGGATATAAAAACATTGTTAATTAGTTTCTTATAAAAAGAATTTTAAAAACAACCTGGTAAAATAACTGCTACAGATTATTCTGGTGAGCACAGTGGGTCAAAAAGTAAAGACAATTTATTGATAGGACATTCAAGGACATTTATTGATAACTTTTGAGGACTTTTTAGTAAGATTTTATTATTAAATAGAATACTTTTTAGTAAGATTTTATTATTAATTTAGAAAAAGCGATAAATAAATTTGACTAAATAATAGTTAGGCCATATTTTAGATGAGGACCTTTATAAAACTTGTTATTTTATAAATTACAATGATAACATGATAATTACAATGCATTATAAATTACAATTACATATATGTAAGATAACATAAAAATATTAATGAGAATAACAATAAAAATTAAGAAAAGTACAAAAATATGCAATTCATAGATTAATATTCCAAAATGTCTCATTTTCAGATAAAATAATATCATAGACATTTTGTTAATAAGAATGTCATTTTTAATACAAAACATGCATATTGGTTTTGATTGCTTAATCAGATAGATTTGCATTTCTTAATCAGATATTCACATTCTGTTAATCAGAATTCACATTCTGTTAATGGTGTTGATTAAATTGAAAATTTGAAACTTTAACTTCAATCAAGAACATATCCATCTTAAAATTTTGTAGGTACCTTCTTACTCAGAGTCATTAAAATTAAACTAATTTCTTGATAAACTTTAATGAACCACAAATTAGTTTATGTAGCGATGGTGTCTTTTTAGTCTTAATAACTATTTTGTAACAGGCAAACTCCCTAATTAGGCAAATTAAATATAATTTGCTTAATTATATTATACAACAACTCATAGAATTTTCAAATTGGAAAACAAATTTGTATGCAACAATATTTTTAAATAATAGTTGTTTCAATTTATATTTTTTAATTTTAGTATATTTTTAAATAATAGTTATTTTAAATTAGTGAAATTTAATCAAAGATAATAAACTGAAGGAAAAATGGGTAAAGAGGGAGAGGATTAAAAATTGATCATTTTTTTAAATTTCTAAAGATATTCCTTAACTGACCACATCTTCATATTTAAAAGTATAAATAAAATGCTGCCTTGTAATTTACATTAACTTTTTAAATATACTTTAAAATATAATTTAAACTGAAGGATATGCATTTTTTTTTAATATTTTTTTTCTTAAAAGTGCAGAGTTTACACAATTCAGCTAAAAAACATCTTATTCCATTTTCTCATAGCAATTTAAAATTGTTGCATTTTTTTTTTCTCTTTTTATTCAACAATGAATTTTGTCATTCATATTTTTTTTTATGAATTGGAAAATTATTTGGCTTCCAATATCAACTAACTTAAATGCAAATGGTAAACATTTGTATTTAAAATTTGTTGCAATAATAATGATCAATTTGTTAAATCTAAAAACTGAAAAAAAAATTTATTTTGTTGTTATTAACAACACGTTTTGATGCACTTAAATCATTTATCAAAAAAATAAAAAATAAAAAAAGTATTCAAAATAAAACCTTTTTTTAGTCTTATGAAGATTCATAAGTGATTCATAAAAACTTGGAGCCATATAGTGATCCTCCTCTATAAACATAAATGGTCCATCATGATTTTTGGTAGCATCTAATACATCCATGACCATATTGATCTTTGAAACAAAAAATTGCATAAAAACAAATTTAAAATATTTTTATATTTAAAATTTAAATTTTAATCTAAAGATAAAGTTATATATCAAAAATAATAAGCAAATAAAAAAGCTAATTTTTAAAGTATATAAATTATGCAATTTATAAAATAAATTTATAAAGAAAGTTTTAATTTTTTATAGTTATATAATGATTATTATTACTATTAAAGTATTATATTAATGGTATTATTATTATAATTATACTATTATTATTTATATTATTTTTATTGCTCTTACTATACTCTTACAGCCGTAAAAGCCGGGTTGGCATTCAACAATGCTGACTTAAAAGCTTATCTATCTTTGCTTTACTACGACATACAACTGCCAACCTGAACTGTCCGCATGAAAAAAATATTTAAAAAATATAATATTTGTTCAATATATGAGTTCATAATTTATTTATTGCAATTATATGTTTTTTCGAGTTGGACATTTTATTTTTATAAAAAAAAAATTTTTTAATTCATTTTTATTATTTTTTTCTTAATTTAATTCATAACAAGTCTAGTGAGGTCATTAATTCATTAAAAAATTAATAAAACTTGCTTTTTAAATGTCTTAAAAGTTTTAATTTATTTTAGTTTAACAATTACACCTTAACATATTTACTGCTCTTTTAATATTATTTTAGGTCAGAAGGTTTTAAAAAGAAAGTTTAGTCTTAGTATAGTTAAGCTATGATAAACACACGTGGAGAAGAAATATATTACAGTCAATTCCTAATAATTAACTTAAACTTTCGTTATCTTGAACCGTTTTCATTAGTCTCTCTCGTAAGCATGAAAAATTGCTTTACTTTGCTAAGGTTAAACATTCGTTTAGTCAAACAATTTTCTTTGGTCTCTTTGAGGTCAGTTTACTGTATTTAAAAACACTTTTTTAAAAGCAATTAAAATTAAGAAACTCTACAGCAATAAATTAAAAAAAAATTTTAAATCATAATAACAGAACAGTTATTAAAAATCAAAAGTAACATTTTGCCGATCTGACGTCAGTTTAGTACAGCACTCTTGTGCCGACCTTATTTGTGCATCTTATTTGTAAATTGATAATTTGATATATGTGAAACTATATGAAAACAACTATAAAATTTAAAAAAAAAGTGTAAAAATTATAAATAATCTATAAATTTATATTAATTATACTAAAACTAATTTATCTTCTTTTTAAATTGTTCTTAATTTTTTTTTGCAATATAAAAACTTACTTTCCACCACCAATGGTGTTTAGTCATTGTAATATGTGCTTCACGATAATGTCCAAAACTATCTGGAGTTTCAGCATTATTACAACCAATTCGACGAGCTCTAATTTTCAAAATGTAAAAAATATGCATTAAACTAATTTTTTTCAGTGCACCAACTTTTTATGGATCTAAATTTTAGAGTTACTTTTAAGTAATAATAAAATATAATAATAATAATAACAGCAATAATGAATATAGTAATAATAATAATAAGAAAAAGATGAAGAAAAATTTGAAGAAATAATTCAATAACATATAATTACTCTGATAATGAAATATCTCTTGGACAATCATTTTCACTGGGGCCAGGATACTCATTTGGGTACATCTGCATTGAATATGGAAAAAAGATTTGAATCACCTAAAAAAATATTTTATAAATTTTTTATTTTTTCATTATTCGTCTTTTTCCAAAAAAAAAAGTCTGTACAGGTAAATAAAAAACAACTTTCAATTCATCATTTAAAAATCAAAAGTCCATATTAAATTTTTATAACTAATGATAAGCATAACTTCTTATCTTAAAATTGTTTTTAAAAGTTTGAAAACACTGTATTTCTAGTTGTTGCAATTTAAATTTTGCATTTTTTTTTTAATTTGCAAATTAAAAAAAACACAACATAAATAAACAGTTAAATGTTAATAAAAGAAAACAAGGAATACCTGTTGCATTACTAACTGGTATATTATCCACACAAAAAATTATGAAAATAATATTAGATATCAAACGGAATTTGTAAAAATAATAAAATTAGCATCACTTAATTCCATAATAATATGTAAACAAGAAGTTTGAAGTCTGATCCCCACCATGTTCCTAGAAGTAATGTAACTTGTTTCTCCACACAGAAAACTTATTCATCAAGGCTCATGTTTTAGAGTTAAACAGGTTAGAGAGGTTTGTAACAACAATTAAAAAAAAACTACAGCCAATCTTGTAGAGAATTGTTAAACTTATAATAAGAACTATAATAGGCTTTAACTATAGTAAGAGGAACTTATAATAAGAACCTGCTTTAACTATAGTAAAACTTATAGCAACTTATAAAAAGAACCTGCTTTAACTATAGTAAAATTTATAATAAGAACCTGCTTTAACTATAGTGTTGTCAATAAGCAGGAAGAGATCAAGAAAAAAAGTGAAATACTGTATCCAGTATACTATAATAAACAGAAAAAAAACTATTTTCTCAAAACCATGCAGATGGGACTTGATCCCATTCTGTTTAAAGCCATCCAATTAAATTATAAATAAAATTTTACGAAAAACCAACAGAAAAGCAAACAATTAATTCAAATCTTTAATAAAATAATTGAAGTAAAAATGGCAAAAAACAAACATTTTAATAAAATCCTAAATGTAAACCTTTTATTTAAATAATAAACAAACCAATTATTAATTTTTTTTTTACAAAAATAATAATTTTTAATTTATATGAGAATGGAACCCATTAATGCAACTCTACAAAATTGGTATAATTTAAAATCCTCCATTTAAAATGTTTAATTTGTTTAATTGAATTTAATGTTTAAGCTTTTATAACAGGATAAATTTTTAAGTTTAATTTCTACATAATAAAACTACATACATGTTTAAATTCTATACCTGGCAAAAAGTTATTTTTCGAATGAGTTCATTTACACTGTCAGCATAAACATCATGGCTAATGACTAATATCGCATTTTCTATACCTTTTGAACGCTGCAATGAATCTAAAAGTTCTTTAAAATATTCTATTCTTTTATGAACTTGAACAACAATAACAACGAACTCTTTTTCTCTTTTTGAGAATTTATCATTGTTATATACAAGTTGTCTTTCATTCAGTTCAATAATAACAGAGCGCAATTGACTAGCAGTATATTTTGTGTCTGAAAAATCTGTTTTAAAGTCTAAAAAATCAAAATAATTTGAGTTTTCACTTTGAGCAAAAGGATCATTAGTCTTTTTTGCTTCATCTAGAAATTTTTTTAATAAAGCATCATCTTCAAAGGGTATATTTATTTTCTTTACTTCTCCACTATCTTTCTGAATATCAATTAATGATTTTAAAACATCTAATTTCATTGAACTATCATCTTTTTTATCAGAATAATTCTCTAGATTGTTGTATAAAATTCCTTCATTTTGAAGATATACCATAAAACAAACCACAAGAAGTGCAGGGAATAAAATTAAAAACACCTTGCGTATTCTTCTTTTACAAATCATTTTATCTATATCAAGTCACCTTTATATAATTTAACCAGCCACTTTTATATAATATTTATCTAGACACCTCTATATCATATATATCCAGTTACTTTTATACAATATTTATCCAGACAGCTTAATCACCATTTTAAAAGTTTATAGATTTAAAACTGTTTTTGCATAAAAAGAGAATTTTCTAAAAATAAACAAAGATTTAATAAAAAATAAACAAAGATTTAATAAAAATAAACAAACATTTAATAAAAAATAAACACAGGTTTAAAAAATTCAATAAGCTGATAAATAACTTTCAACATCAAGTTATTATCAAGAGAAGTGTATTTTAAAATACAGACTACATGATTTTTCATGTGCCGATGTCTGACACTTATTTCAAAAACCCTGCACACATATAAAAAAAGCTAGAGTAAATAAAATATTTTTAATTAAAATATAAAAATAATGTTACTATTACAACATGGTTATAAAAAACAAAAACAAAAAAAAAACAATATCTAATATATAATATTATTCTGAAACAAAAGTTTACATAAGTTTATAAGTAATATTTACACCCGGTTTACGTGGTGGAAGAGGATCAGTCTTTCGGTCATCTGCATCAAGAGTAAAAGGAAATATTTTCGGCATTGGTTTACCTGCTCTTTCGCTTTCAAGCTCCTAAATAAAATATAAAAATATCAAATTAAAATTAATTACACTAAAATCAATAACACAGGTCCAACAAAAAGATAATTTTGGTTTGCTTGGATACCATTTTCGACGCTGATTTCAAAACTACAATCAAATTTTTTGTAGCACATACAATTTTGTTAGAGTTTGGAAATGTTATGATAGGATAAAAAAATACCGTCATAATCTTTCATCTAGTCTTTGTTTATATAATAGTTTAACTAGATTTTTTAGTATTTAGTTTAAATTTTAAGTGAAGTTTTATACTAAGATAATATATAAAACATAAGCTAAAACACATATTTAACAACCGTCTTATAATAATAATTGTAGTATTATTTATGATAAACTCATAATATTATGATAATCTATTATAAATATATAATAATAATATATTTATAATATATGATAATATATAATAAACATATTATGATAAAAGCATATATGCAAACACACAGGTTTATCTTGGTTGCCACTGTATAATATATGCATTAAATCTGTTCTGCTTGGTTGTTCGAATAATGAAAGATATTTTAAACCAAATTTGAATGATCTTGTTAAAGACCTATCACTTTCTAAGAAAAAAAAAGGAGTTTCTTGCCTCCAGAGTATAGGAGAACAATTTACTCAACAAAAATGTTTACATCTGCAGAGATCTTAAAATTATAGCACATCTGCAGAGATCTTAAAATTATAGTAATGTTAATGGGTATGCAAGCAGGATTTACAAAATATGCCAAGATACATACATATGCACAACATCAAGACACCTTTATGCATAAATTGTCTCAAACATCTTGAGGTAAAACCTTTTTTAAACTTACCAAATTAAATGTCTTTGTTTGATCTCATCCTTTATATTTTCTATATACTATACTACTTTTATGTGTGCTTTCCTATTTTTCTTTTTGTGTGTATGTACTCATGCAACTGAAAAACAAAAATCGTACTCTCAACGCTTTTAATAGCTTGTAATGTGTATACTCTTATTTTACAACTATTTTACAAAGCTCTCTTTTATGTAAATTAGTTGCTTGCAGGTTATTGGATAGTTCTAAATTAGTGTATGATGTATATTAAGGTGGACTGACAAACATTTGATTCCCACAACGCTCCTGGTTTTACCACAATCAACTTGTTTCTCTGCGCTGTAACCTTGTTTGTCAAGGTTAATGTTTCGGAGTTAAAAAGTTGAGTGATAGTTAAAACCACAATAAATATTTAAAATAAAATTATATTTTTATATTTAAAAAAGAACAAAGGCTCTTAGGCCAAAAAAACATTTTTACTCTTAAGTTTTTTATATCCAGTAATATCTTATTAGAAAAAATGTATTTAGAGGTATTTAATGGCAATTGTTAAAAATTGTTGCTTGTCACCCGACCCTTATATATATTTTAATTTTCCCAAATAAATGGTAAGCATAAAATGTGATTTTTGAAACATATTTTCATATAATTATGTACATTTTCAAAACACACAAAAATGTAAAGCACAAGTAGTAATGATTTCAAAATCAAGTAATGATGATAAATCAAAGAGAAACTGCTGCAAAGTTGATATTATTGTAAAATAAAAGGAGTTATCTGTTTTTTTTGTTATGTTGCTATTTGGCAACATTACATAATAAAAGGCAAACTTCTTGAAAAAACCTCAAAAAAATAATAATAATTTGTGAGAAAGCAAACTTAAGACAATGCTTTATATTTTATAATGAATGTTTTAAGAAATAAATAGTATAACTTTTTTTAAATAAAGAAATTTTTTTTTTACAAAGGATATTTAAATTTTAATCATTTTTTTATAACATTATTGATTAAATTAAATTACTTCAAAAATATTATTTAAAGATAAAGATTTTTAACATGGTTTCAAATTAAATTTGAATTACAATGTGGTACTTTAAAATACCTTAAATTTTTAATGATGTGAATATGATTTTTAAGTAAAGGTACGTTTACTTGCCTAATGCTTTTCTGTTACAAAACAAAAGTACGTTTACTTGCCTGCTATATTACTATATCAGTCAATGTATGTACTCTCTACTTTGGCAATTAAGCAAAATACTTTTTTAAAATGTTTAAAATACAGACTAGTTGGTTGAAATGAAAATATAAATAATTGGTTGAGAAGTAACTTATCAGATATCGAATAAATATGAAAATCTTATAAATCAGTGGAAAATAAAATCTATCAAAAATGAGGCAATTTAACGAGGGAAGGGGAGGGGGGGATTTACCCCCCCCCCCCCTCAAAGAAGGTGATTTTCAAGTTATAGTTGGTTCTTTTTACAAATTTAGTCTGCATTCGGCTATATGACACTATTCAGTCGGTTAAATTTTCGTTTTGAGGACCTTTTTTTTTTAAAGAAGCAAGTTGGTACTTTTTGAGGATTCACCCCCCCCCCCCTCATTTTATTCGTAGAATCGCCTTGCTGATAACATCATAAATATCAAAATTTAGATAGACAATATTTTTAAAACAAAAACTAAAATAGCTTGTAAAACATGGTATGCAGGCTTGGACAGGAATGGCGTGCGATTGAGCGCTATTGCTGACCACGCAAATGATTTTATTTTTTGACAACTTGACCACAATTGTTTAATAAACAATGTTTATATGTTTTGATGAGTTAAAAATTTCAGAAATGTTCTGAATGTAGAAACGCTAAGCTAAACTTAAACTAGGAAGAAAATTAAAAAAAAACTAATGAAAAAAAAAAACTAACGAAAAAAAAAATTCATAAAGAAAAAAGAAACAAAAAACAAATTCATAACGAAAAAGAAATTATATAAGCTCTAAAATGAAAATAAAAACTTAAACTCGAAGCGAAACTTTTAGTTACCTTTTAAATTACGTATGAAATAAATGTTATTAAAACTTATCTTTTTAAGCGTCATTAAAATTACACAAAATATTTTTAAATTAAGTAACAAATTACTACTAATGATTGGTTTAATAAAAGAACAAATTTTATTAAATTTATTAAAAAGTGTTTTATATAATATTTTTAAATTGTATAAACATTTTTGTCAAAAAAGTTGCAGAAAAAATAATTGTTTCAAAAAATAAGTAGTCTTTTTAAAATAGTAATTTTTACTAATTTCATGCTCTAATTAGTGAGTCTAATTTAAAAAAAGGTTTTGAACTTTTTTATTCGTAAAAATAGAAGAAAAATAAAAATATCGCGCCTGCGATTTAAATAAATTAACTGCCGACAACCTTTTTAATTCAATTTTAATTTGAGCATTACAACTTTATTAACTAGCGCTTCGCGTAACGAATTTAAAAATTTTTGTAAAAGATTTAAACTCATTTCTAACGAAATTGAAAAAAAAAAAAAAAAATTGCTTACAAAAAATAAAATGTTTATTTTAAACATTTTTAAAAATCGTAAGTTTAATCATAAAAATTAATCGTATGAACATTACAAAATGCTTTAAAACTTTTTCATTAAATCAACAAAATACATGCTTACATAAGTAAATTTTTTTTTTTTTTTTATTTGCATTCACTCCCAACAAGGCTGCAAGCAACCACTATTAAGTTGGGAGTTACTAGGAAAAAAAAAGAACAGAGTTATGGAGCAAGGAAACAGTTGACAGAAGACTTGAAAAGTTGAAGGTTGTATGAGTCAGGAAAATATGAAGATGGGAGAGAGTTCCAAAGGATTGAAGTGCGGGGAAAAAAACTAGATGAATAAAAGTTTTTAGAGCATGCAGGGACAGATACAGTAAACGAATGAGACTTAGCTGAATGACGAGTAAAACGAGAATGAATTTTAGTTGATGGAACTAGAAATGATAACTCCTTTGAGCAGTGACCATGATAGTATTTGTAGAAAAGAGAAAGAGATGCAACTTTACGACGATGGGAAAGAGGTTCAAGCTTAGCAGATAGTCCAGGTCCAACAACATTTACAATGTGTTTTTGGACCTTGTCAAGAAGAGAAAGTGAATCGTTAGAAGAATCAGCCCAAATATGACAACAGTATTCCACACAGGGACAAATAAGAGATTTGTAGAGGTAGAGAATGGAATCAGAAGTAAGAAAATGGCGAGCACGATAAAGAGAAGCAACCTTAGCAGAAGCTAATTTAGCAATCGATTGTATATATGGTTTCCATGAAAGGTCAGTAGTAAGCGATAATCCAAGAAGACGTAAAGAGGACGACTCAGTAAGAGGATTGCCATTCATTAATATAGGAATGTTGACCATATTACGGTAGTTGTTTGCAGTAAGCAACTGGGTTTTTTTAGAGTTGAAATTCACAAGCCACTGTGAACCCCAATCTATTACTGAAGTGAGATCGGATTCAAGATCAGCTGCTTGTTCTAGGCGATCGAAAAGAGAAGACTTTTTGTCAGCAAAAAGAGCTACTTTAGATGAAAGGTTGTCAGGAAGATCGTTTATGTAGATAAGAAACAAAACAGGGCCCAGGATGGAACCTTGGGGAACCCCAGAAGTTACTGGAAATAAAGAAGAGTGTTGGCCTTCAAGGATGACTTTAATAAACCGGTTAGAAATAAATGATTTGATAATCTCAAAAACTTTCCCAGAAACACCATATGAAGCAAGCTTATGGAGAAGACTAGCATGCCAAACTTTGTCGAAAGCTTTAGATATGTCGAGAGCAATAGCCCTAGCCTCACCGCCTCCATCTAATGCACGATAAAATCTTTCAGTTACAGCAGTTAGCAAGTCGGCCGTAGAGCGAGAGGATTGAAAACCGTATTGATTGTCTGACAGTAGTTTATTTGACTCAAGATGAGATGTGAGGAATTTGTTGATCAAAGACTCATAGACCTTGCTAATAACAGAAAGAAGACTGATCGGACGATAATTGGAGGGGTCAGAATTTTCTCCAGAGTTTTTGAATATTGGAACCACAGATGCCATTTTCCAACAAGCAGGAAAACAAGACTCAGTCAAACACTTGTTAAATAGTTTAGAGAGAATTGAAGAAAGTTCTGGAGAACAATTCTGCAAGACTGTGACAGGAATGTTGTCTGGACCACAAGCTGTAGACGAGTTTAATTGAGATATGACTTTAGCAACAGAAGCCGGAGTGATTTGAATGTCTAACAATGGGTCAACCTGTTTGACTGGAATGGAAGGAAGAGAATGGCCATAAGATTCAAGAGTGGAATTAGAAGAAAAGTTCTTTGCAAATAGTTCTGCCTTATCCTTGGGAGAGGTAATAAGATCAGTCCCATGAATGAGAGATGGAATGTTAGATCTACCCTTGTTAATAATGCTGTTGAAGATTTTCAAAAAGTCTTTAGAGCCTAACTTCTGTGATAAGATGCGAGATTTAGTGAACTGAGAATAATGGAGTTTAGCATCAGAAAGCACCTTTTTACATCGATTTCTTGCAATACTAAATAGCCATTTGTTCTCAAGAGAGTTGTTCTTTTAAAAAAGATGAAAAAAATGATTACGATTAGATATAGCAGCCGCACAAGAAGGAGAAAACCATGGAGTAGAATGAGGCTTGACTTGAAACCAATGCGAAGGAATAAAAGCTTCCATTCCAGCCTGAATCCAGGAGGTTATGTAGGAGGCGCATTTGTCAGCTGAGAGAGAAAAAACATCAGCCCAAGGACCATCACGAAGAAAATCAGGAAAGGAATCCCAGTCAGCTTTAGGGTAGTAGTAGGTGGTGCGATGATAAGGTGAGCTTAAAAAAGAAGTATGAGAAGAAAGATTTATAGAGATCATTGCATGGTCAGAACCACCTAAGGGAGAAAAGGGAGAAACTGAACATAAGCTAGTGTCAGAGACAAGACATAAGTAAATTAAGTTATTTTATATTCTTGTGTAATTCACATAAAATGTGTAAATATTAGTAGTCACAAAAGCTTTTGAACTTATTCACAAATTAAAGTAACTTAAAAAAATTCTTTCTAAAAATAATGGTTTAAAAATGTTTTAGGAAGACATAAGAAAATAGTTTCCAAACGTTTAAATTTATCATAAAAAATAAATGCCTACATACTTTATAACGTTTTTTATTAATTTACACAAGCGTTTATGTAAACAATAAATATAATTAATTTTATGGTTTTATTTAAAGCCTTTGCTTAAAATAAAAAACTTTAAAAAAGATCAACGATTAAAAGATGTTTATAACGTAACACTTTTTTTATTGCATTCAAATTGTTAAAACATCAAAATAGCCGTGGTCAAGTTGTAAAGAAATAAAAATATTAGCGTGGTCAGTTACAGAGTGCGATCGCACGCCATTTCTGTCCAAGCCTGGGTATGCATGTCTGATGTTATCATTTCACACCTATATCAATTTTAGACAGACTAATCAAATATGATTGAGTTTTTTGATGTTTGCATAGCAGCTTTACTATGAAAATAATTTAAATTTATTAGTATTGATAGAAGTGGAACAGTTAATCTACAGTATAATATACAAATTAATCAACTATAGAGTTAACTAAAGGATCAAATTGAATCAGTTAGTTTAAAGTATAATATACAAATTAATCAACTACAGAGTTAACTAAAGGATCAAATTAATCAGTTAATTTACAGTATAATATATAATATACATTATATATAATAAATAAATTATTTATAGAGCTAGTTAAATAATCAAATAGAATCTCAAGAGTTCAAAAAATAAATAAAAGCAATGAAAATTGTAAAAAATGTCTAAAAATCAGGAAAGAAGCCATATTGTTCTAAAAAGATTAGAAAAAAACTCAATAATTTGTACTGTATGTAAGCAATATATTCAGAAGAGATTGATAGTTTATCAGACAGCTTAATAATGCATAGTTTTGAGTTGAATATGCTGAGGATAAAAAAGATTAAAAAGGGGAAAAAATAGTGTGGATAAATATAAAATATGTATAGTAAATATTAAGTTTTAAATATTTGTTTATGATATTATATATTTATATCAAATATTTTTGTAAATAATGAATTGTTAAACAGCAACCTATTTTTACAAAATTTCGAAAAAAAAACAGAGCAAAACTAAGAGAGACTCCCCTCATATCTAGGAGTTCCTATATCAGAGCTGAGATTTCAACATACAATCCAGCTTTAATGGTATAATATAGACTACCAATAGTCAGCTATCTTTATTATTATGTTGACCAACTAAACTATCTGGACTGAAAAAATATACATTATTAGATTTTATCCTTTAAATAATTAACACTTCAAAATTACTTCTTGCCTTCATGTTAATTTTTTATTTATAAAATTAAATGAAATTAGTTTAAACAAAATCAAACATGATCAAATGTTCTTTAAAAAATTATCTTTAAAACATAAAAATAAAGCATAATAGTAAAATTAAACTTTAAAATAACAATTAAAACAAATATAAACTACAAACAAATAAATTATAAAACAAGAAAAAAAAAAACAGCTCAACATTAAACAACCAAAAAAAGTAATCTCACAAGGTCTCTTTTAAAAACATATAAACATGCTCCAGGAATTCCAATACACCAGAACAATGCCATGGAAACTGTTTTACCAGTCCATTTAAAGAATGGTGTTGTATTTTCTCTCACATAATTCCATCTTTCAATTGCAGGATCTTTCTAAATATGTAAAAAAAACAAACTCATTTATTATATTTTTGAATTTACCAAAGAGCAGGCCTTGCGATAAAACATCAGCCATAGAATATTTCACGTACATGAAGAGCCACTTTACATAATGCTATGCTATTTACGCTAAGCTAAAATCTTTTTTATTTTAAATAACTCTATAGATATTTTTAAGCAGTATTTGAATGAAATAGTTAACATTTCAACAGAATTATAATGAATTATGGCTGATGTTTTATCGCAGGCCTTGCGATAAAACATCAGCCATAGAATATTTCACGTACATGAAGAGCCACTTTACATAATGCTATGCTATTTACGCTAAGCTAAAATCTTTTTTATTTTAAATAACTATAGATATTTTTAAGCAGTATTTGAATGAAATAGTTAACATTTCAACAGAATTATAATGAAATAGTTTTTGAAAGCGCACAACGCTGTGACAAAAGTTTAAGTATTAAAAATATATACAATGTTTATTATTTACAAATAAATTCAGATAAAGCAAAGAAAAAAAGGTTGAATTTTTATAAAAATTACTTTTTTATCAAAATATCAAAATAATCAAAATATTAAGCTATAGAAGAAAAACCTGTCTATTGTTTTAATAGGATGTAAGTGATGCGGATGTAACAAAGGTTGAAAAAAAAATTATTCTAAATACAATAATCTAGAAATCATTGGATTCTTTATTTCATACTTAGTTTTAAAAGTTATATTCAGGTTTTGGAAACTATGGGATAACTGGCAATAAAAATTACTTTAAAAAACATCACTTTTAACTTACTTAGCTTAATTTAAAAAAAAAATTAGTTATGTTAAGCAAGCTAATCTATATAAAAATATTTCTCATATTTAACCATGTAATATTTAAATTAAGTTTTAAGTTTAAACTGATTGATTTTAAACTTGAGCATGATTATTATTATATATTGTTCAATAAGCATATTTTACTTTTTTGATAGATTTATCTATTATTTAAACCTATTAGTCTTTTATTCCATCTTTTTATTTCATTTTAAAAGAAATGAAATTTATATTAAACATTAAAAACATCTTACAAAGCATGCATATTTTTAAATAATACAAGTGTTAATAACACATTCTAAAAATAGAAGTGTAAAACAATCCATTTAAATATATATATATATTTTTTTTTTATTAATAAAATATATAATTACTGGTAAAAAATCGAATTCAGGTTTTTTTACTTGCAATGTTTTAAGTTTTTAATTTATTACTCACTGATTTTTAAAAATGAAAAATAATTGCAAAAATAAAACAAAACCTTTTTTATTCATTAAGTTATAGACAAAACATGATTGTGTCAAACGTCAAGAAAACAAAGTAAACAAGCAAATGTTTTAATAATATTATATAATAACATTACTGCTTTGCTTTAATTATATTAATTATGCAATTAAACTAACTATCAATAAAATAGCAAATAAAAAGAATTTTATGACATCAAAAATTCTAAATGTGTCGAGCATTTTTTATATCACAAGGCCTGAAATAGGAGTACAATGCAAAAAATTAAAATGTTGCACATTTTGTATTTCAAATGTGATTAAGTACAATTCAGAGGAACTTTTATATGATGTGAACAAAAGTTTAAAAAGAGATAATAAAATTAAAGAAGCAAAAGTGATAAAAAAAAACTCAACAAAAATTATCATCAACATCACTTATCTCAGAAGACTTTTTTGTTAATTACATTGTACTACTTTATTTTAGTAATTATATTTATGTAAAATTTTTACAAGTTGAAGTTTGAGCAGATTAATTTGGATGCCATAATCTGGTATATAAAACTTATCAGCATTAAAAAACTATTCACTTTAACAACTCTGCAGGAGTACCATTACAAAAACCTCTTTATCATACTTCATTTGAAAAATGTTTAGCTTATTGGGTAAAATTAAACTCGTCAATACTAAATTTACCTTTAATATACAAAGCTTATTGTAATAAAACAACAGACCAATTCAATTGTTATCAATGATCAAAATAAGGTTATTTATGACGAATCATTTGTAATAAGAGAAATCATAGAAGGTAGCCTATTAAAAATATATAGCTTATCATATATTCATTATATAAAAGATATTTCTTTACACATTGTTTTTGTTTTTGATTTTAGTTTTTTTTTTTTTTTTTTTTAACTGAAAGATAAAACATAGTTCGAGTACAGCATACTGTAAATAGAAAATTTAATTGATATAAAATTTTAACCCATTCGTTTTATGGCAACCAACTCTTATCTTACTCTTACAATGCTGTTGATAATAATGTTATCAGCAGGTGCATCTTCAATGAAAATAAAAAATTTTTACTAGTTTAAAATCAAACTCAACTTGGAGGACAATATTAGACGTGGTTTTCATACTATAAATGAGTAGGATAAATTTATTAGTATGTTTGCTACATATCTCTTATAAGATATCAATAATAAAAAATAGTTAAAATTTTTGGCAAAAAATTGTAACAAGTTAAGAAACTGATTTTCTTAACTAGTCACAATATAGTAATATACAAAAACCATATTGGGAGTGCTATATCAAACAATCGCAACACAGCAAGATGTATTATTTAAACAAATAAAGACTTAATTAATACAATAAAACACAGAAAATGATTATGAATTTTGTTATAATCTTGTAATCATGTATCCAAACCTATCATAAGATTTTGCGAGTAGGTTGCTTAGTTAATAAATTACTTACTCGTTCATTAGCTTCCTCTGACTATTTTTATTCTATATTTGTAGGATAATAAAAAAAAAATCTATATATATAAAGATATAAATAATTTTCTCTTCCTTTAGGGTATAATGGCAGTGACAAACTAAATGTATAGGACACTTATTATTTTGTATTACATTTCTATAGAACACGGGATATATTACTATTAGATCAAAACCGTAACTTACAATTAACACGCCATGTTCTGGAATTAATTTCGGTTCAGCATGAGGCAATATACTTCTTCCAACACGAACAACACTTCTAGCCACATTGGCAACCATTTTTAAATTTATTTATTTTTCAGAGAAACAAGAGGTCTTCAGCGATCATTTTAAAAATCACGTTTTTAAATAAAGCGTCATCATAGAAAATTAATTATTACTTTGAGTATGAGATGCGTACATACGCCTCTGAGAGGTGGTACCAGTCGCATAGGAAAATATGGTCAAAAAATATCTGACCAACCAATACTAATAGAAAAAAATCGTTTTGTACTATATAGTCTATATTTCGTGCGTATCACAATATTCTGACGTTATTTTATGATACCATGTTATTGTCATGGATTTTCTCCGATCTGCTAGCGAATTTGGGTTCTGTTCAGATTTCGGTTTTTAACTTTATCCAACAGGTTAGATAGGATTTTAATCGGTTGGATTTTCTGGCCATGTGACAAGAACATTAATGACTTGACAATTTTTGCCTGATGGCAAGTCTCCTCGTTTTGCATGAAGAGATCAAACTTTCTTATTCAAAACTAATTGGACACTCCTTGAAATTTTCCACATAATTCACACTTTACAGTCTCACTTTGTTGTAAAAGGTATAAACCAGCAGCACAGCTGTTTGCGGTGATTGCACCCAGGGTCGGCGTTTTGAAAAAAAAAAGGTCCCAACTTTTTTTAAATTTGCCGATGATTGCCTGAATTTGCCTTCTAAATTATCTAAAGGATCTAGATTTGCCGACTGACATGTCTAAAAGGGTCAGATTTGCCAACTAAATGAAGGAAAAATTTTTTGATGAGGGGTCACAGCTCCTTCGCGCCGGCCTTAATTGCACCCAAATAATAATTCATAATTATATAATCATAAATAATAATATACCACCATAATTGCTAGACATTTTATTATAATTGCTAGACATTATGTCTTAATTGCTAGACCATATATCATAATTGCTAGACAATAATAAATCAAAATCGCTAGAAATAGCCTAACAGAAGATGGGGCATATTGAAGATTAAAGCGTGGGTTTGGTAGCCGGTGAACATTGACTTTATGCTGAACACTGCCTAATATGTACTTCGTAGGAAATCATGACTCCTTTACACATTTTTGCATTTCAATTTTTGTTTTTTCTGCAAAATTAGAGGCAACCAGAAGTATTCTTTTGAAAAAGATTTTAATGCAGCACCGTACGATAAAAGATTCGTGGCAAGATGCCTTTAAACTATACGAACACATGTGCTAAACTGGATAGTGTCAGGGGCGGATACAGGTTGTAAAGATAGGGGGGGCACAAATGGGGTGGGGTTTAAGGGGAGGGGTATCCCCCTCCCCTTCTGGGGTCTATAATCAGCCGCCAATGATTTTTCATGAAATGACAACCCAAAATGGACAGTTTCCAGTACCCTTTTCTAACTAGTTTTGTTAATATAACATTTTCAAAATCATTGTTTTTTTTTCAAGAATAAATAGCAAAAACACTTTCAATTCTCAACATTTATATATTGAATACACTTTTACATGTATTGTTGCAATTTCCAATTACAAAGCAAGAGTATGTTTAATAAAATAGATTGACATTTGATATAAACAAAACCATTTATATAAGTTTGTTGTTACTTATTAGCTACCATTTTTATTTTTTTCCCTACAAACCGCGTTATATGAATTTGGCTAATGGCCGTAAGTCATAACGCCAACGTATATATTCTATTATAGAACGAAAAGTAGCCTGGACCCTGAATACGCTGTTAGTTTTATAGAGTGAATGTCTGTCTTTTATAAATTGAATATCTGACCTGAGAATGGATTGACATAATTATAAATAAAAAATTAATCAAATTTTAGGGGGGGGGGGGCACGAGCCGGCTGTGCCCCCCTCTAAATCCGCGCCTGAGTGTGGTGGAAAGTATATTGATGTTGAATACCTTGATGAAAGTGCAAATGAGTTTTCAGCGAAAATACGTATTTAATTTGCATTTAGTGTGCCTGTTAGAAATCCCAAAGCTATCTTTAAAATCAAAAAACAACCTTAAAAAATTAAATAAGGTCATAGATTAACAAAAACAGTTACATCATTTTTGAATATGACCCTAACATGTCCTTGTTTAATGCATTGTCCTCGTACCAATGTTTCAATGTCTGTTTTTGGATAATAAACAACATGAAAAATCTTTTTAGCTTTTTTTTATTATTGTGTAGATAGAATCATGAACCGAGAAGAGATCAATTTTATCTGTGTGAGATGGTACAAGTATTAGCAAGATAAAAAAAAAGATACAAGCTATGAATTAATTTCCTATCAGCAGCTAAAAACATTCTTTAGGACACTTTATTGACACCTCGGTCGAAAGATTTCTAATTATCTTGATGGTACAACACAAAATTTCAATGAAGCTTTCACACAGAATCAAAAAAATGTCCTTAAAATGTTTAGTTAAAAGATTAAGTAAAAAGCTTCTAGATCTGGATGTTGTTTTAGTTTTCAAAAGTTTCAATTATGGTTTAAGAGTTTTTAAAATATTTTATATTGCTTTATCTGAAAATTTTTGTTTAAAAAATTGTGGCTGGTTTTTGCTACAATTATCTATTATTATATATTTTACTTTATTTTATTTATTTTCGTTATTAAAAAAAAAAGAATACAATGCAGCATAATATAAATATAATCTAGGTAACGAGGCTAAAAGAAGACAATATTTGCCTTATCACTACTTTCATCAGCAAGCGTGTGCAACCATTATAAGGTAAAGATACAATTACTTTGTACCATTTAAAAATTATATACAAATATTTACAACTGTGTTAAGATCGGTTACTAATCTGAAATCAAATGGAAATGGTAAAATGAAAATAAAAAATACTCACACCTAAAAACTTAAGATAAGTTAATAAAATTATTTAAACAAAATTTAAATGTGAGACGATTTAATAATAAATAATAAAATAAATAAGGTAAACAATAAAATTAACAAGGTAGTTGTTAAAAACAAATAAAAATAAAATAAAAAAAATCTTAAAAATATTTTTAATTTATTAACATAGTTAAAAAGTTTTTGTTTGAGTTTTTGTTTGAATGGAGAAAGAGAAGAACAATTTTTAAACTCGTTATTTAATAAAGTGTTTCATAACTTATGACCTCTGATAGCAATAGAAAATTTGATAACCAAATAGTGCAATTTAGGTTGCTCATATTTGTAATTTGAAAATCTTGTAAGGTAAACGTCCCAGTGGACACAGACGAAAAAAAGACGTCTTTTAAACGTCTTATACACGTTTTGGACGTCTTTTGAACGCCTTTAGAACGTTTTGGACGTCTTTTGAACGTTCAAAAGACGTCTTTTTTTGGTCCGGTGTCCACTGGGGTGATTAATTTTATTGAAAAGTGTACTAAATATTATAGGAGTTATTTTATCATGAAGTTTGTACATAAATATAAGAATGATAAAGGTTTAACTGAAAAACATTAAGTATGCGTTGATTTTAAAATAGTTCCTTAGAATGTGTGAATCGACCTGCACTTGAAAAAAGTCAGACAACGTATTTTTGTCTACAAGCAGTTTTATAATTTACTTACTTTAGAGCTGCACAATATTTGCATAGTTTATATAACAACGTATGAGGAAGAAATATAAGATTTTTAAGCAGTTTTGGTTTAACAATTGCTTAGCTTTGTATAGTATGCCAATATTTTTTGAAATTTTTACTTCTATCGTTTTTATATGTTCCCTCCATGCCAGGTTTTCGTCAAATATCACTCTTAAAAACTTTAATAATGACACTAATTATTTTAGAGTTGACAATATAGAGATCAGGAAGTTTTAATGGAATATTTTCTTGATCGTGAAGTCCATGAAAAAAAGTATACTAAGTTTTCTTTAAACTTAAGGGCAATTTGTTTGCCGTAAACCATTCCGTTAGATTTAAAAATTTCTTGTTTACTATTTTAAATTAAAGGTAAATATCTCCATTAGAATAAAATAAATTCGTTTCATCTGCAAATAAAACTGAGTTTTAAATGTTTGAAACCTTATGGAAATCATTTATATAATTATAAAATAAAATTGGATCAAGAATTGAGCCTTTGGAACTAATCTTTATTATGAGAACTACAGAAAAAATTCATAAGTGAGTGTTTTTAATTAGTACAGAGTGCTTTTTTAAAGAAATTTAGAGAAAAAGGTTACTTTAAGGTCCTTGGTTTATGCAATTCAAAAAGAAAAGTTAGGAGGTGAAGAGCTTTACTATAAAGAGCCTTACCTTTTAAAAAAATTTTTGGATACGAGGCGGTCAAGTAGTTTTACCTTTACAATAATAACAGCAAATTGAACTCAACAAGTTATTGTTGCTTACACTCAAACAAAGCATGATCTTGACTTTACCAGTGACGTTCTAAATTAAGTCAAGTCCTTAATAAAATTTTTTAAATTGTTTTAAATTGTTGTGAATTTGATTTTTTGATACAAAACTCTATAAGTTGCTGACGAAGTAAAATATTCGTTCCAGTTGATTTAAAGACAAACTTGTATCATTCAGCTGCTTGTATTGGTTGGATAGCTCTGTTGGTTAGAGCGTCAAACAAAAAGTTCAAAAAAATTGGAATGTTGTGCGATTCCTGTTCAAATCCTGCCACCACCAACTCAGCAAGAGTAGTACTTTGGTACGCAATAATGTTGGTCAATAACGGACACTACTTTGGATTAGTCCTAATGACTATTTGTGGCTATTCCTATGCTAAGCTAACAACATCTTTGAAGATAAAAGAGCATTGTATAGAAAAATATAGCATAAAATAAATAAAAGTATAAATAATGGTCACATCAGCTTTTCATAATTAAATTATTTGGCTAAAGCTAAAGACATTGCGGATACTCTAAAACTGGTCACATCATAAAAAAAGTAAATAGTTTGGATGCTTAAACCGTTGCTGATACTCTTGACATTGAATAATGACAGCAAAAAAGTATTATATTCGGCGCCTGATTACTGCTTTATAACCGGGCGTTATAAAATTTCTCAGCAGGCTTGCATCAGAATATAATGCATAGTTTTATACTTGAGTTATTTCGTATTTAAGTTTTAGTTTTTACATATCGAGGGTGGGCGTAGGAGGTCTCTAACCCCCCTACTAAATATACTAGTCAGCATAT